AATTCTAAGAAAACTCATAAAACTAACAGAATGGTGCAGAACTTTGGAGTTTGGATACACACAATGGCATTCGGTGAGGAGTAAATGAAAACAGCCTGTTTAAAGGCAGAGTGATCAGTGGCATTGACATCAGGTGAGGAATGGATGGTAGCGTCCACTGACACAGAGGACAGACAGACAAATACCCAACATAGAATAATTAACTACAAATTATCAAAAATAAATAAATCATCAAAAGCACAGAAATATCCTCAAAAAATAAAAATCAAACCTCAGTGAAATTTAAATTCAAAGTCCTTAGACCGACACAAAGAAGTTTATTATTGTGAAACAGATAGATAAACACATAATTTTCAAAAATTCTGAAAAAGCTGAAAAATGTTTTTCACCCTAAATAACTAATATACATAAAACCCAGTGTAACCACTTGCCTGCAGAAGTTAGTAATTAGTGTCCTCTTCAACCCAATATAATCTCAGTATAAATGCAGCTGTCCTGTGAAGGCTTCTAAAGTTTGATGGAGGAAATAAGAGGACAGCATTATGGATCCCAAGGACTACAGCAAAGACAATCTCTTGGTATGACCATGATTAGCCACACACATCACAAATCTGACCTCCTATACAAAGGAGGCAAAGGCAAAAACCATTGTTAGGAGAAAGCCAAAAGAACTTTTTGACCTCCATGTAAAATGGTGGAAAACTACCACTGCTCATTCCTTTGAACACACCGCACTCGTTTGCAGTTCCATATAGTGATTTTAAGAAGAGGAAAACGGCGTAGAGTTAATGGAAAAATGGGTGGAGCTAAATACAACACAATCTTGGAAGATACTCAGAGGTTTCAAAAGACCAGACATTCATTGATATGCATGTTTAGTGAGGCAAAATGTGAAGCTTAAGGCTTATGAATACTTTTGCAGGGCACTGTATCATAATTTGGAAGCGTCTCAAAATTTTTGAATAACACATGCCTCACTGGGCTGAAAAGAGAAACAAAGTAATGGTTTTCGGAGCAACCACAAAGTTTCCTTTATATCCATTAATTTAATTTGGATATGTTTACTAAAAGAAATTTAAGGATTAAATTCATGTTACATTTTCTTGTTCATTTTCATGGAGCTGAGAACATATTGGAGCGTCTTCATGCAGCATTATTGCAAACAAAAGTCAGTGAAGACAGCAAACATTTCCCACATAATGGACCTGGAACACACTCTTGACCTTGCTCCTTATTATTACTTATGGAATGGTAGACATATTTTGGGGCTCTCAAACGCCTTCTCGTCTTTCCATAACAATTTGATTCGATAATATATGATATTTATGTTATGGATTCAAAGAATGAGCTGTGGTGCTGTAAGAGACTTTTGAGTTGAAGCACTGAAACAGGTATGCTTGAAGGTAAAAGAGGTAAAGAAAAAAAATCTGCTTCAGCAAAAGCATCGTCAAACAGCAGTTTAAATCTCAGAAGCGTACTTCAAATGCCACACATTCGTATGAATGTCCTCTGTTGTCTGTTTGCCAGGCAAACATGCACACGGCATAGTTTTTAAATCTGAAATCTTTAAATGCTGAGCCCCCTTATAATCCCATGTGGTATGTTCCCACTTTACTAGTAATTGTATTTTCTCTTCACTTATTTAACAGAACAACATGGCGGCAGTGCTCCTAATTTCTTCCTTCTGCTTGGAGGACAACTCAAGTGTTGAGTGCAAAGAGAAGTGCACACAATTAGCTAATATAATTCACAGATGTGCTCATGGAGCATTTCTGCCTCTCTGTTCTTCATCTTAAAGCTGCACAGCGGGCCAAGCAACCTGAGAGTTATAACACGGCCCTCTGAGCTTTAACCTCACAGTGACCTTCTGGCACATACATTTCATATGACGTAGTAATTAAAATACACTAATTTGATAATAATGCAATAACAGCAGCACCTGAAGGGCTAATTTAAAGAAAACATTTCCGCAGACTCCCAGTGAAGCATAAAGCTCCATAGAAAATACAGTAGCCTGTCGGTGCTCTTTCTAAGGTCTCTGGGGTATTTTGAGGTACTGATTTCATACCAGAGTCATTAAAAACCTTGTTCCCCTTTGGCTGTGAGCGCCTGCCTGGCGTCAAAGCCTGTGAGTGATATTAGATCCCCAAGGTGTAAACCTGATGAATATCTGAGGTTGTTTTGGAAAGGGTTAAGGCTGAAGCTCTTTCATAGCTCACGGTACAGAAGAGATTCAAAGTCAAATATGAGCAGGTATCCCAGACTGGAGAATTGGTTCCATTTAAAACTTCTATACCTTTTAGGCCTGTTTTCTTAATATTTTTTTACACAACTGTTCAAAGTGATGAGTCTAGTGATGAACAAGATCAGGATAACAAAATGAGATGCGACAACACATCAAAAATGTTCTAAGAGAAATTCAGACAAAATTATTTCTTAGAACCAGTAAAGATACATGCATGTAAAAATATCAATTTTCTGTACATCCTTGTGCCTCGTGGGGGAGGGACGGGGGGGAAGGGACGGGTGCTGGTGCTCATCTCCAGTGAACTCTTCGGGTGAGAGGTGCGGTCTGTCGTCACACTCACTAAAATTGAACATCCACTTTTATATAATGGCAAAGACTGTCAAAGCTTGGAAAGCTATCACAGCTGTATTTTGCTTTCCAAACATTGCATAATTATTTTTATGAGGACAACTTTTGGGGTTGTCCTCAATTACTTCACGATTGCTCCTTTTCACTTTCACCACTTTTATACATAATTCTCAGCTTTAGATACTCTACCACCATCATTAGCAACAGACCCAAATACAATGAAGGAAATGTTGTCAAATTAATATATGTAAAAGCTAAAGCATTAAATAAGGTTTGCAAAGTAATTCCACCGTCTATTATTAACAAAGTTTTAGGTGCTGAAGTCGAAAACTCTTCACATCCTGGATGACTGAGAATCTACCAGAGTATTAACAAAGTTATGAACTCAGCCCCTCCCACAAGCTGTCCAGCTTCATTAATCATAACAAACCTCTCCATGGAAAGGCTCCAGACCTAATCCAAAGTGTGCATTGACCATGATTGTTATTGACTGCAAACTACCAAGTTGTCTCTGATTCTTCCTCATTAAAAACAAAGACAGGAAACTGAAAGCTGGAAAATAATTTGTTCCTCCCTTTCTTCCACAGGCCTGGTGGCTTTTGAAGCCTACAGGAGTGGAAGGGAACTGATTGAACTTATTCAGTGAAGCTTGCTCTACAAGACTAAGTTACACAAATCATGCCACTAACCCATTTGTGGGTGTGTTTATTGAGTCGATGTCCAGTTTCTTTTTCCTTCTAATGATCAGCACTGACACAATGAGGCAGGTGGGATGTCTGCATGATGCCATTGAACTCTACTGAAAAAATGAGAACATCAACTTAGAGATAGTTATTGTTTCCTCAAAAAAATTTTCATTATATTTCATCAGTTTAGGCACACTGGTAAGGATCTAAAGTGCATATCTAAAGTTTTGTGCCCTCCTCGAGGGTGGTCATGGACATAGTTTACTTTCACAGGCAAAGGCTTCCATTTGCCATTGTTGTGCTAAACACTGCTTTGGCACGGAGGAAATTGAATCAAGGAGCTATCCAGCGGCGTTCTTTGGGCTGTCTTGTCCTTATCATTTCCATCAGCCTGATCAGAAACACATTGGGCTCCCACCAGCCAAGGGTCAAAAAGGCACAAAACCTTTGGCAGGCAGACATTTCCTGAGCACTGCATCATAGGTTGCCAGTGCTGGATTTTTGCCGGTGGTGTAATTCGTAAAAAAGGACTAATTTATTTAGCCAGCAGCACTCAAGTTGTTGAAAACCATACATCAGTAGTGAAAAGGAAAGAAGGCTTTATTTACTTTTTTTTTTTTTTTTGGGCATAGTGTTATTTTGATGCAAATTGACCTTTTATATTAGTAGATCATTTGCAAGGTGATTAATAAAAAAAAGAACATAGAACATCTACAACAATAGTTTTACATTGCAAAATGTTTTTCTAAAAATATCTTTTGTCTTCATCGTCATAAAGCAGTATATCTACTTCTTTATATACTCCACCTTACTATAACTTGATTATTTTTAGTATGACCTAATCAGTTTCAAATCTTTAGAGGTGCTTTAGTTCACTCTTCTTTTTAAGACCCTTCAACTCGTTCCACACAGTCGCATCCCATCTTGCACACGTAATTGGAGTATCACATATTTTGAAGGAGTATGTGATACTCCAAAATATGTGGAGTATCACATATTTTGAAGTAATTGGAGTATCACATATTTTCTGTTTAAATGTCATAATTAGTTTTGTGCAAAAACATTGAACTTAAATCTGGAGGTGGAGAACATTTAAAACAACAACCAGAAGTCCAAGGTATGGTCATCTAGGCAAGTTCATACCAAGAGCACACTAAAGATGCCAAAACAAAGTCACTAAAATCTAAAACCTTAGTTTCAGCACTCGCATTACGCTTTTACCTCTGTTGATGAGAAGGTCCATGTCTGGATAATCGGAAAGAGACTGCACATGTTTAACTTCCATAAAAGGTATGAAAGACGCAAATACAGCGGATATATACATACTACAACGTCAATTTGTTTTTCCTAATGCGCAGTAGGAAAAAAATATTTCTATTAAACAGAACAAGTTTTCACTTTGTTCTGGGGAAGATACTTTTTATCCTTATGTCAAAATGGGATCAATGTAGGTTTCTCTGAGCCAGAATATATAAGGTCATATTAATCAGTATCTTAAGCTTCTTGCAAAAGAAGCTCCATTTTATTCACTGCATCCATGTGGATTTTTTTGGTTCAGGTAACAGAATGAACACTGCTCTTTGTTTTTAAAAGCAGGTATCATGGCTTCTTTCATTTTTTTTTCCCTAAAAATAAGGACACGCAACGTTTAACATAGCACCTCATACCATCGGAACAAGAAAAGAAACTACAGGCCACAACATATTATTATTATAAGGTGCCTTTTATGTCACATTGTTATAAGAACACGAATGCAATTAGGAATCAAACCACTGAGAAACAGCAAATCTAAATAAAAAAAAACTATTATATGAAAAAAATGGAATGACAGCAGAGTTCAAAATGGAGTAAACATGAAATAGAATTAGAAAACTGAATAGTGGTAAAACAAATATAAGCAGGCGAAATATATTATTCATTTTTAAGGGTTTGGGATGTTTTCAGCTTACATCTCCATATCTACCCCTACATTTTGTACCTGAGATTTTTTTTCTTCAATTATTCTTATTGCGAGTAAAGAAGTAAAGTACAATTAAAGAAATTTAAACTGCAAAAATCTATTCCCAACCTCATTGAGAGAAATGCAAAACAAAAAGCATACCAAAGTTTAGATTTTCATAAGGGTAAATGACACTCTTATTTCAAGGCTCTCTGCTCCTAAAAAGGCACAGCATTTTGATTTATGTGCAAAAACATGATACAACCATATTGTCATTTAACAAGAGCAATTGAATTTAAGTACAAAGGCAGCAAAAATAGCACTTTTGTTCCCAATCTCTTCATTGTCTCTGACCACGCTCCTGCTTAAAAGAAATGATGAACTTCCAGGCTTCAACATAGTGGGACAGCAAGATTTCTTCTGGGAAGTGCTCCTCCACATCTGGAGGTATGTCCATGTCTTTTTGTTCCATGTAAGACACTAAAGATTCTTTCAAGCTTGAGAAAGAAAAAAGAACAATTTCAAAACAGAGTAGTAAAAATGCTGCATAAGGCATGAAACAGTCATTAAAATTATCTCTATAAAAGTGAAGTAAAATGACATAAAAATTTTGATAGGTGTATTAGGTGTTGTGAACCTTTGTTTTGATAGGGATAATATTTTGTCCAACAGGAAGTCACAAAAAAGGCTTAACATGACAGATTATCTTCAATAAATTTGCCTAGACAGCTCCCCAACAGTACAGCTGACATGAAATCACAGACAGCAACAGGATATGTGATTCATCAAAACACTGGTAATTAAAAATGCCTTGATAAAACAATATTTTTGGAAAAGTAGACCAAATACTCATGGATATTAAGCAAAATAAATAAAATTTGAAGTTTAATATTCCTATGTAATTGAGGAAGATCTGGTAAAAAAAATCTTTAGTTTCCAAATGTATACAGTGTTTAAGAATTATACATCATCAACGATAAGAAAAATATTTAGTAAAAATTATATTACCCCCAGTCAGGCCTGTAGGCATCAGGATCATTGGACTTTTTAAGAACCAGAACCAAGAACTCGTGCATTTCTAACAGGAAAGTGTCAGCACTGTTCCTTGAGAAGAAGGCAGTAAGCAGCCTGTGCTCTTCCTCTCCCAGAGGCTGCTTGTACTTTTCAGGGACTCCCACAAATGGGTCCTGAAAAACAAAAGAATCAGCAACACAACATTTAGTCATTCTTCTAGAATAAACTAGAGAATGTCACCAACTGGACTAGTAGGAGAAGGGAAAGTGACATCTTACCCTCTTCAGCCGCAGCATGTTTTCCGATTTAAGCGAAACCAACAGCTGCCACAGAGCAACACAATGCTTTAGGCAACACATGCTGAAAACCTGTGAGCAAAGATGGAGACCATTCCCTGATAAACACCTCATGCACAAGACTATGTTCACTAAAATGAAATATCATAGCTTTAAATTTGGTTAACAAAAAAGTTGCAACAAGAGGCAAGTGTGTGTGCTTTGTGGATGTAGAATGTAACCAAACAGTCTAGACTGCGGAAGAGGGAGTGAACATGTAGAAGATAGTATGGCCGGTGTCTCAGATAGGCTGACCTTGACGATATGCTGAGCGACTTGGTTTCCCATCTGCAGCACTTCCTCAACGTAGCAGGACAGCTGCATGTGAGGCTCCCCCCCCGTCATGGCGAGGAAGCCGAGCGCCACTTCCAGCGTGGACAAGGCCTCGCACACCTCGCTGTAGGAGTGCAGCTCCCCAGCGACGGAGAAGAGGGTGAGGGTCTGCAGGGGCTCCTGATGGCATAATCAAAGACATTCCAGATACTCATGTGAGTTTGTATAGAAATACTTATACAATATGTCATGTATTATGCATGAACAATAATCAGAACCTCTCACAAGAACTGATACCACTGGAACTTTTTCACGGCTAGTCACGTTACAATGCCAAAATATTTTATTTTTCATTGGGATTCTAAATGATCGACCAACACTAAGTAGTACATAATTATTAATATTGATAATTAACTTTAAACTTTTTCACAACGTTATCCCTGACCTCTAGGCTGTTGGTCATCACGATCCTGTTTGTTCTACTATTGTCCAACATAAACCTCTGAGGCCTGCTTAGAAATGTAGATGGTTTGGTTAGACTGGACTTTATTAAGGTGAATCAGGATAAGGGCTGTAAATGCGATTAAATATTAATAATATTATTAATAACTTACTTGCTTGACTTTGGTTTTAACATCTCTGAGGATTATCTTGTAGTCACGATCGTGTCTGTTAACTAGTGTAGGAATACCCTGCAGTAAGAAGACATTCATATAAAGGTTAAACAAAGTTTTGCTGAACTTCAAAAAGTTGCTGTAGTTGTGTTTTGCATGTACTCACATCGAGAGTGATTCGAGGTTTTCCAAGCAGAAAGCGTGAAATGATCTGCTGCTGGATCTTGACCAAGTCATATTCATGAAGGGTCTCTTGGCCCTTCTCGATGGTGTACTGAGTATTGGACAGAATCAGGGGCATCAAGTCCCGCTCCAGCTCATAACGGATAACATGCAGATCAGAGAGATCTGCAGGGCTCACTTTGTAGCTGTGAAATTAATACATGCAAATAAGGCAGTTTGTTAGTTGCATGCTACCCTGATTATCTAAATACCTAAAAACACACAGAATGCATTTTCAGGATAAGTTCAAACATGAAGATGAGGAAAAATGAGGCAAGAGCGCCCTCACCTGGTCTCCTCTCCAGTATGCTTGTCCACACAGTAGATGAGGTCATTGTGCAGAGCAATCAGGTAGCTGATGAGAGCCGTGGAGCACAGGCCTGCGCCCTGCCGCTGAGGCAAAAGCACCTTGAAGTCACTGTTCAGGTCCAGGTCCTTCTGGCAGAACTCATTTGGGATTTTAATCTCACCTGAAGGACATTTTCACGCAAATTAGACTAACACTCCGCAACTAGAGCAAGTTTACTGTTGTTGTTTGTGTTTACCATTGGTTGCCAGAGACACTCTAAGCTGGTTCCAGGTTGTTAGGAAGATTTTGATGTATTTCTCATACCAGGCTTTAAGTGAAGCTGTGACCAGAAAGAAACCAGACATGTTTTAAGACGCATGGAGCCACTGTTCACTATGCAGACTGACCACAACATATTTACACTTTTTTTTTTCCTCTTTTCAAGGATACTGTATCATTGTCCTATTTTAGGATAAATGTACCCATTTCCTGGCAAACAAGAATACAAAATGCATTCGGCCAAGTATCTGACCATGAGATTTAAAAGAAAACTCAACATGTAGTTCAATGACTACTGCATAATGCCAGTCACATGGTTTAAAAAGCTGAAAGCGATGTGTCTGGTACCGGCTTTCTGTCTGCGAAGAAATTCATTCATTGTCTCGTAGGTTAGCTCAGTGATGTTCTGAAACTTCTTCACCAGATTCTTCTGCAGTGTGAGGATGTCAGGGAGATACTTCACCAGTTGGAGCTCTGCCTCCTACAAAAACAAATTGTTACAAAAATTTTTATTTAACTTTTTTTTTACTAGTGAGTAACGAAGTGATTATAGAAAGTTATGCAACGGGAAATAACATTTAAACATTTTTACAGCACAGAATTGCACTGCATGTCATCTCATGTGAAAACATATCCCAGCTATCTAATGTATAATGCTGATAACTCTCTGTTTTAGAATAGCCTCCTTGACATTTAGTACCACTTGTTAAAAATGTGTAATGGTTTATAAAACAAATTCACCTTTCATTGCAGTGACAAAATCTAAAGCAGAAAGTTGTAGAAAGTACAAAATTGTACTAATATAAATTTTAGTACAGCAAAACTGCTGCTACAATTTCTTTCTTTTTTCACAGATTTTTACCATGCGAACCAAAAAGTCTTTAAGGTGTTCAAAGTAACCTACCACCAGAGAACCAGCTCTTAAAGCTTGCAACTTTTTGCTGCCATTTTCTCACCTTGTGGAGAAATCTCCAAAGCACAGGCGTAGCGTCTTTGCCATCGTTCTGCTCTAGGATGTGAGTCAGGCTCAGCACACACACTTTCTCCCTGCAGCTCCACACAGCGGAACAGTGGAGCAGAGAGTTCGCAGGCAGAGACGTCAAAAACAGACGAGGGTCACCATACACCAGCTTCATGATTGGGTTGGCAGAGATCCGAGAGTCTGCCCGGATGAAGGCATTCACTTCTTTTAGTTGTCTATCCAAGTGCTGGTGAAGAGAATATGCAGATGGGTATATGTTTTACTTAGGTCCCCCATGAGCATCGATGACAGAATCCTCTCCTGATTCCAATACTTTATATGTACTACCTTTAGCTGAGGTGTGATGACAGCATTGCTCATTTCCGACTCCCATCCGTTTCTGGCCTCTTTATTTGAAAGTCGATTGTCAAAAGGAACTGGCCCTGGAAAAGAAGCTCAAATAATGTAAACTTGATTCATCAGTAAGTCAAAGTTAAAAAATTGCAATGATAGAAGCCCCATTATAAATTCTTTATTTTACTAAATGCAACAATGTTTTGTTTTTCTTGGCCACTAGAGATCGCTGTTTCTCAAACAAAGATATGGAAAAAAATAACTCTCAGATGCATAGCCTGAGTTTAATAGGTAAGAGGCAAAAAAAAGAAGAAAAAACAAAAAGATTCAAGATTCAATGCCCAGTAACTTTCTTTAAAGTTCCCACAAAATATTATTTGGTGTAAAGCAGTGGTCCCCAACCCCTGGTCGGTCCATGGCCCAATTGGGATCGTCTCATTGCAGAGAAACATTAGTCATTACCAAGAGTTAAAATTTCCACGAAAGTAAAATGTTCGGTTTTGTGGCGTATCTGTATCTTATTTTGAAGGGATATGTAAACGTTAGCATAGCGACCAGAGTCAGAGAGCATTAGGGCAGTGGTCAAGACGAGATGAGAGGAGTAGAGCTTGTGAGTTTTAGGTCTGGTTCACACGACACAATTTAAGAAATGTCAGCCGATTTTCCAAACCTCTGTGACCTCACATAACACGAGCCGATTAAAGTCCAAAGTTCATGTGTCCAGCCACACAGCAGGAGCAACACGCCACAGACTGAGACTCCACTCACGAACATCCCGATTCCAAAAGAAAACACAGTAAAACCCCCAACATACGATGCGTGAATTTAGAATAATCAAACACGGATGACGATGTAGAAGCACTAGTGATAGTTTGTGGACTCAGTTTAAGCGATAAAAGACGTAACAAAAACAAAAGGCGTTGTATGAAAGACGACGGGAGCAGCCACTGAATTTGCTGCACTATGATTTGAAGGCAAGTTATTTTTTTCGTAGTTTAAGGTTTAACTGAATAAACATGTTTATGAATCACATGATATGTCTCCACATATCATCTCTGATGTCCACCGGCCTTTGGGTTGTGCCATGTAAACTGTTCAGAATTCCCCTCCATTCTTACGTCACCACACTTTCTGATTGGCTACCTGTCACATTCAACAGGCTGTGTTCTCACTCCCTGTCAGGGAAACCCTACAGGCTGAGGTAATTGGGGCAAGACACCACCACGCAACACACCGCAGGACGTTGTAAGATTTTCATAAAGGGAAAATCAGGGCAAAAAAAAAAAAAAAAAAAAGGCTTTAGTGGGAACACCGACATGCAGAAGCATTATCTGACGATTCTCCCCAGGAGCAAAATTGCAAAGTCTTGACTGGTCTGCGGTAATAAGAAGGTTTGGGTGTAAAGAGCCACTAACTTACATCTCTGTTGCTGGTGCGGTCCCAGCAAGCTGCTGATTATCAGGTGAACTGTTGTGATTGTGTCATCGGTCCCCTTTCCCAGTGATTTGATCAGATGTTCCATATCTTTTCTCAGGTGATCAAGTAGGAATGCAGCAGGATCTGGAACTGGAGGCTTGATGATTGCAGAGATGAACTGAAAAGACAAAAAAAGAAACTATTAATGATGAGAAACAAAATCTGACAGGAATACTGCGGTCACATTACTCAATTGTGCTGTGTCTTTGTAGCCTAGTATTTAATTAAATACTTCTGTTTTATTTTTATTGATATTTAATTTTGTTTAGGTTATTTTACATTGTCAATTTAATTTGGTTCTATGAATTACCTTTATTTCATCACACATCATATTTTTTATGTTTAAAATGATAAATTATAATTAATGGTAAGTTCAATAAACATTTCCTTGTTCATTATTGCAATATCATTGCCCCTATTTTTTTTTATAAAATTGTGTTGTTAGTTGCCTCAAAATTGTTATTTTTCCTTTTTTTGCTTTTAAACACTATAAAGTATGTTCATGTTCCCAAAAAGTGCAAAATAAAATGGGACTGTTACCTGTGTTTGATTACAGGCCCCAAGCAGCATCGCCATGTGAGTGAGCATCCGGACAACATTAAAGGGAACAGGAGACATGTCCTTTGTGTCCAGCATATCGGGATTGTCCCGGCGACTTGGCTCACCGAGGATGTGGCCTGTCTGGGTGCGGTCACCTCTGTCAAAGGACATTAAAAGAAGAAGAAAGTCCTTACGCAAATGTGATCAACTTTCTTTGCACATTTTCCCCTGGATTTTGGAAAACACTTACTGCATTCCAAGAACCTGAAAACCTGCCACAGGCATATGGTTATTTCCTCCAATTACAGCACCACAGTCTACGCAACGACTGGTCTGCATTGGCTGGCCACACTAGAAAAACACAATTTTACAATATAAAAGATAAAGCTCTAGAAATATTTGAGTTTTTACACTATTTTTCTAATTTGACTGAACATAGTATACCTCCCCAATGGTGCAGGGATGACCATTTGGACAACCTGTGTGATCATATAAAACAGTTCAACTTTTAATATTATGGGAGTCTGACCTGAAATTTCTAGAGTGAGTCTATAAAATTATTGATATTTTTTACTTACGGTACCACTGCACGGTACCCAAAGCTTGTTGAGCTGCTGCTACTATATCTTCTGGCATAGAGGGCAAAAACGATGTCTGTAAAATAGAATTCAAAAAGTTATACACTAATTTCAAAGTTATATTTGTTATGACCAAAAACAGATTTAACACAAACCTGCATGTTGACAGGTGTCAGTGCCAGCTGCTGAAGGGGAGCTATGATCCCCTGGTTTCCAGAGAGCAGTACAGCAGCTAAGTGAACAGCTAATTCCACTGCTACAATTTGGGCCCCAGAGATACCGGGGCGGACAGAAAGAGGCCCCATTTTGTTGGCCACCAGGTCTTGAGCAAAGGTCTTCACCTCTGGGCTGGCAAGAATTTTGGATGTCTGGATGTAAGCTGAAAGTGCTTCAAGTTGCTGTTGGTACAATTATACAGAAAATATCCAACATCAGTTATAAATACACAAAATTTTTTAAAGAATTTTATAACTGGGATCTGACCGAGGTGATAATAGGAAAATTAAAATTTAAAAATGTACCTGCAGTTTGGGATGGAAGGCCTCATTAGCGTGTCCATAAAGAGTGGTGATTTCTCTGTATAGTGCTAAAAGAAGGTAAACTGCTTTCAGTTGTGGCACACATCTGCAGCCCTGTAATACATCAAGAGAACATAAAGATACTCATGAAATCATACAGAAAGAAGCCAAGTCCTGGACTAAATACAAATTAACAATAAGTAACAACGATACCTCACAGGCCTCATCCAGTCCTTCTACTTTGCCTTCCATAATTGTCTTTGCAACAGCTTCTCTGATTGTCTTGTAATCTTTTCCGCAGACAAGATAGTGATCTACTGGGGGGGTCTCCTCATCCTGGGGGCAGGGAAAAAAAACCCACAACAGTTAATAAGCGTCAATGGACATAAGTGAGCAACTTCTGTCATTAAAAACAAAAATCACGCTGAACCTGGAGCTGAACTTCTTCAGGGAAGAGCCAACTCATCTGACCCTGCCTAAGACGTTTCTGGACAAACTCCACTCCATATTGGCTGCAAATCTTGCGTATCAAATAGACACGATACCAATCGTTCCCACTCCGCCTGCACAGGTTCACCACACTGTCCAGAAAGGCTGCGGCTCCATTATGACCACCTTCAGGTAAGCCTGGAAAAGGAAGAGAACATTTGATAAACTCCTAAAGTAAAAGAGAAGAAGCATTCTTCTGCACCATAACACCAGCATTACAGACCTGTTTCTCTCAAATTTTCCACAATCAGACTAGCAGTCCTGTCCAGGTCTATTCGCACTCTGGCCAACTGCTGCAGATATTCCACAGATGGTTTTTCAGCATGCTGACCGTGTGTTTGCAGAAAGTCAGTCAGAAAGGCACTTTCATTCTGATAATACGCCTTCTGATCTGCAGCAGACCTGAACTGGAGCCTTTCAAACATGGAATCCTGGAGAGAATACAGACGGGATGAAATGGTAAAAAAAAAAAAAAAAAATTCACTGTATTGTAAAATTCTACAATCTGGATGGAGCTTTCAAAGCTAAGCTCACCTCCAGACAGTTGATGTACATGCAGTAGAGTTCAGTTTTGTCTGTCTCATCCAAGATGTTGCTCTGTTCAACAGCCACCAGATGTTGCTGCAGATATTCTTTCACTTCATTAAAGCTGAAAAGAAATATGAGATATCAGCACATACAGAAGCTTCCACCCAAATCTGTTTCTCAGCACAGATGTGCTTAAACAGCTAAAACCATTGCAAAAAAAAAGACTCTGAAAAAATATTTGTTTTTTTCTATCATTAAAAAAAAAAAGCAAAATATTAACTAATTGAAGACTCCTTTAAATTAATTATTTTCTTTTTGAACTTGATTTGTTTTTAGGTGTTCAAGGTAATAACCCTAGATTTTCTGCTTCTTTGGGGCATAAATGAAATGACACAGAGACTTTATTTAGCCATTCTTCAAAATGGAAAGAAAAGACAAAGTGCCTTTCAAATAAAGGCAGTGTGTCGTCAACTAAATTTTGGCTAGCTAAAACTTGCCAAGGTTCACAGTAAAAGCACCAAAAATAGGTTAATAGAACTGGAAGTGTGATGAAACATGTTTAAACAAGGGCCTGAGTTTCTCTTGCCACCAGGCACAATTTGGAGGCATGAAAAAGACGTAAAATTCGATCTCCAAAGTTGACTGTTGCATCTTGGGGTCAGAAGTTTTCCTCAACAACATCTACATTCAAACTGCCCCGTTTGTATAAATAATATCAAAAATATTCTTAAAGGGCTTCAAGTCAGATGAGTTTCCTGGCCCATTAGGTGTTGCACTGAATTTTGAAATGTTATCAAGAAAAAATGAAAGCATTAAAAGCAGATGTGCTAATAAATAACACACACACACACACACATATATATATATATATATATATATATATATATATATATAGATCCCAGGAACAACATCAGACATCTCAGTCCAGAAATGTGCAGTCCTTGGCACAGCCAAGATACTGCGCAGAACCTCAAGCTCCCAGGCCTCTGGTAGAGGACCCGAGCTCAGAGGATAAGAACCACCCGCGGTGGGTGAGAAGGAAATTTTATATATATATATATATATATATATATATATATATATATATATAATGCATTACCTTCCCCCCACTTAATAAAAGTATTAGAAGGAAAACTGGAATGTTCTAGATGTACCGAGAGACGTTATGCTTTTGATTTTTCTGCAGGGCTCTGAATATGAGAAGCATACAAACACACTATAGCTAAAATAACATGCAACCATAACACCTCACCTGTACTTCATCAGAAGTTTGAGCACCACTGACCGAACAACCGGATTTTTATCAGCAGAGTCATCAAATGGAGAAAGCACTTTTGTCAGCATTTGTCGATTGGCTGAAAAAAAAGGTGTTTTTTGGATTTTACACACACATTTGACAAAAAATAGCAAGCAGGGTGATAAGTCTGTATCACAGTACCTCTGAGCAAGGGAACCGGGCTGGCCTCCACCATGAGAAAAGACAGCAAATGAAAGATGACAGCTGAAGATGGCGGAGAGTTGTCCTTGAAGCACACAGTAGACACCAGGTCTATGAAGAAAGCGTTGCAGCGCTTCCTGAACTGAGCATGCTGACTAACACGAACCCTAAACAAAGCAAGACAAACAGAGACATTAAATAAATTACAGTTCATGTCAGATGATCCCAAATTAAAAAATGTACTCACCTCATCTCATTTGAAGGAACCAAGGTGAAGTTTTCCTCAACTGGCTGCATGCAAAGCGGGCAGTACATCTGACCGGGGACTAGCCACTGTTTGATACAAGCTACACAGTAGATGTGATTACATGATAGGCAGAGTGGATCTTGAGGGTCTCCCATGCAAACTGGACATACCATATGACCGAACCTGAACACAAAAAATACAAACATTACTTACTACAAGAGCTATGTTTTATCCACAAAATATCTATTTTCAGGAGGAAATTTTGAGTTACAGATTTAGTAAGTATTCTCTACATCTTAACATTTAATACCCCTGTTGCCCAAAACAAAAAAGTATGTTTTAAAAACAGTTGCACAGTTTTTTTGCATTAACAAAAAGGCCATTGTAAAAGCAACCAAACAGAAAAAATTGATGAACTAAGCAATAAATTAATTTAGAGAATATTTCACTACTCTCGCACATTATTACAGGAAAGGTAGTAAAAGATAAACTATTTGGCTTGTACCAAGAGTAACATTTATACCCTAGTTGGAAAGGCTTTGATTGAGTTTCAAATGTATTTCATAGCCACATCTAATATAGTGACTTAGAAATGAAAAGAGAGCAAAGCAGATTATTTGCAATTAACCTTGTCATAGCAATGTTCAACAACAGAATTGCAATGTTACGTTTTCCTAATAATATGAAAGCTCAAGTTTAATTTGAAGGAAATAATTGTCATCCACTTTAGAGTAAATTTACATCTTGATAATATTAAATGTACTACACATAATTCTGACTAGTTACAGCAAATATACTTTGCAATGTTGATTTTTCACCTGAAAATCCGTTCCACAGCTCCATCTTTGCAGTTTTTCAGCAAACCAATTACAGCCTCGAAAATCTGCTGAGTTTTAACGTCAGAATTTTTTTCAAGAATCTTGATGGGAAAGAAAAATGGAGACAAAATGAAAAGTAAGCACAAAGGCAGCTCCATGCTAACAGGCTTATCTCAAAAAAGAAAAAGGCAAAGAAGTACAAACCTTGCCAAGCCCTCGCATATTTTCCAACACTACAGGTGTGAGCTTCGTGTCCAACTGTTCAATTTCCATCAACATGTGCTCAACGAACAAAGAGAGAGAAAATATGCGATTCCATCCAGATCTACATGCAAAGAACAACAATTTAATTCCTCAGTCTGTTATTAAGTAATAAACTTTGTTCTCTGATTACGGCTTTCTCTTGACTTACTGGACTCTGAGGACTATCATCTTGCTCCTCTCTCCATAATGTCTCACACTGTCTTCTGAACAGATCAGCTCAATGGGAACTTGAAGTTTCTTCACCTGCCTGAGCCACGCTTGTCTTTGAGCATCAGTGTCCAGCACTCTGGGCTCCAGGTGCTCCAAACAAGCAAAAGCAGCATAAACGTCGAGGACCTTGGAGGCAAGGAACATGTGTTTTAAGATTTGAAAGCCAAAAGCCTGAAGACTAACTCAAAAAATATATAAATTATAAATTATGAGGGTTAAGGCTTACAAGTTCAGCGCTGTCTCCTGCATGTGGGTTTCCCAGAAGGTCTTTTGTCACCTGGGGTTCAGTACATGTAATTCTGGAGAGGTTCTGAAGCCGGTTTTTGAACTTGTTATAAGCAGCATGAACCCATGGAAGAGCAGTCATTTTCTCTGTGTCGTTCAGCTGTAGTCGTAGTTCACTGACGCAACTATTCAAGGCACCACAGAGGAGCTAAAAAAGCAGATCATGTGGTTTAATACAATGTGTCCAACTTCTCAGACAGTGTGACATTTTATGCCATTAATTAAAATCAAGACAACCTGCAGATCTTCTGGAGCAGTGACATTCATCGACATGGAGATAAAATCTTGAAGGTAGCGATGGTAAAACTCCATTTGAGTCTCTGAATCAGCTTTCTCAATGTAACGCCCAAGTGGTGTATTCCAAAAGATCTCAATCAGTTTTAGTTGATTGTGTCCTGTAAAATCAAATTTGTTACAAAAATGGCAACGTCTGTATATTTGCATCTGTGACAGATTAACTTAAAGACCTATTAAAATGCCAATACCTTCATTCTGAAGGACATGAACGCAAAGTTCCTCCAAATAGTCCTTAATTCTCCAGCTGAAGGGCATGCTGCAGCCTATGTTTCTATCTTGAGGAATGTAGTTCTGCACAAGGATTGTTCTTGTCTCAGAGCTGAGAAAGATAGAAATATGAAAAGGTAAACAGAATGTTCAAGTAAATTACATGATAAAAAACATAACTTCCACTAACCTGGAGTCGATTGCTTGGTGTGAGATTTCCACCAGTTTTTCATTGCCAAAGATATCCAACCACAATCTTTTCACTGCCTCAGAGCAGTTTTTGTCAAGCAAGAGATCCATGTTTTGGTCCCGGTCAATCACTGACACTAGATGTGCCAAAATGGGGACCACCATAGCTTGAACACGTTTCCATAAGGTGTGTCTGATATAATGGCAAAACAAGTCAAGAAAAGCTTTCAAAGACACTACTTTGCATTCTATTTTTTGAGGTAATAGTATTACGAGTAGTTACCTGAAAGTGCCTCCTTCCTGCAAAGCATCAATGTTTGAAGCCTCTTTGAGGACCCAGTTGCTCTTCATGAACGTGTTCCCATCATGAATCAGTAACAACGAGTGAAGACGCTTCTTCACAGTTTGAAGAAATTCACCTGAAGACACACAAAATGACAAGATCAGAAACTGTAGGGAACATACAAATACATCATTCTTATAAAATATTTAAAACAAAAATGCTAATAATTTCACTGCAATAATTTAAGAAACCAAAAAACTTTTATTCCTACCAATGTTTTATTCAATTAATTCTCAGAATAATCAATATCACTTGATTTTTATTGGCATTTCATTACATATCATAGCAAATGTATGAAGCAACATTTTTCTAAATTATCTAAACTGTGAAAATGAAAGAAAAACATGATTTCTGTTGTACCTCTTAGTTCATCAGTGTCACTCAGGAGAGTTAAAAGGATCTCAACCCGTCGAGTACTGCGAAAGCCGCATGTCACTTGGTCCCTCAGCATACCAACAGCAGTTTGCACACAGCTCCGGAGCAATGATGTGGTATCCACAACATTATCCAAGTCCTTTGTAAAGAAAAAAAGACATATTAAAATAAGAATATGCACTTGCAGTGAACAGAATGTAAACACAAAAAAATGTATGCGTTACAGACATATTCAATAAATTAGTTAAGCTTCTTTGCAGATTAAAAGTACCACTTGAAAATAACCTTTGAGCAAGTACTGAACATTTAGCAACCTACTCTATATTAACAATCTTTATATCATGGTCTAATGTAATATTTATGTTTTTATTAGCTGCATCCTGACCTGAAAGTCATCACAACATAGCAAAACACTTGAAAACATCAGTCTTTGTATTGTGAAATAATTTACTGAAAAAAACATTTAAATAATATTCTTAATAGCTAATATTTTTGACATCATCATCATTGTATAAGACATTAGTTTTACCTAACTAAAAATTTAAAATATATTGTCTATACTTACGTTTTCTTCCAACTCTTGTTGCACACTCTCAGTGTACATGTCATCAGTCTCCATAGCTGTAATCATGTAAACACACACATATATACATTATATACAATATAATTGAAATATTTGCATATATATATATTTTTGCATATATATATTTCAATAAATATACATGCAATACATATATTATGTAATTTACATTAAGTATTGCATATATAATGTATAATACATATATATTTAACATTTTCTTTTACCTTCAGGCCGAGTTGTTTTTGTTTCAAACATTTGACTGATTTTCATGTTTTGCAAGGTCTTGATATCTGAAACAATGTCCTTTGACCTTCTGAGGTCATCAATATGAACTGATCTCCAGGGTCCTATAAAAAGCACAGTGTCTTGGATTATTTCCTGGTCAGATAAAAAACAAAATATTTTCAAATAGTAACATGTTTACCTCCATGAAAACCAATGTAAGATGTCCCTCCTTCCATCCTTGGCAACCTTGTGATAAAGTAGACAAACACCCTACTTCCTGTACTCTCCTGTGTAACTTTGTTGATCTCATTTAGTGATGAATACCTGAAAATGGACCACAACACTCAACATGGTAACAGGACACAGTGGTAAAATCCATATAGAAAATTAATAATGGGACTTACTTTGCAGATGCAATCAGGTTCGTGCTCTTACAGGGTTCATCAAAATCACACTGAATAATGAGGATTCGGTTACAGGGTCCAGTCATACTTCCTCCATTTTCAGTTGTGAGGAAGTTCCTTCAAATAAAAACAGAATATCATCTTTCAATTTAAGAATATCCCTTATAAATATGAGTACAATTTTCTTTAACATTACATTTTAATTAATTATTGTGTAAAGAAATAGTGAAATATTTTAACAATAATTTGAAAATAGCTAATATTTTTGACATCATTGAATTGCCACAGATATATTTTACTCAACAGAAGAACAAAACCTTGCTTCTACATGTACACAAGATTACTATAAAAGACACATAGCGGTCATTTGGGCTACTTTATATATGCTATTCAAAAATTATTTATTCTTCAAGGTAAATTAAAATAATTATGAACCCGTAGAAAGTACTGTTGGCTATTGATGCTATGCTCAATTTAAGCAAGATCCAATAGAGTTGATGATTAATATGTTAAAATTCAAAAATAATTTATTGATCCCAAAGGAAAATTAAATGTTGTTTTAACTCAGAAATTCAAATTCTTCAAAGTGACCATTCTAACCACTGTTGGCAATACAAACTAATAATAATCGATTTCTTCATAGTTATGTTTTCTGTGACTGATTTAATACATACAAATAAAAAGTGCATGCAATTTTGTTTCAACAACTACAGCAAGAGGGACATTTTGGATGATGCTTCTACTCACAATTTTGTAGTTCTGGAGGTTATTTTTTTAACTTTAACTTTATAAACTTCAGCTTAAACTAAAAATCAAACTCTTAAATAGATGCTTCACCCAACCAACTGCCAGTAAATATGAAAGATTAATTTGATATTTTTGTTGTTTCTTGTTTTGTTGTAAAAGTGTCTTAAAAATGTATTTTAAACATGTTGGTATTTGGAAACATAGTATTCATTTTAAGTACTTGTAATTATATTCTATAATAACCGAATCAGTACATTTAGAAACAAACCTTATTTTCTTTAGGAAGGAGTGTTCTGTGTCAAACTGTTGAAGTGAGAGAAGCTCAACGCTATAAAACATTTTCTCCAGAGGTTCCATGTCAAATGCAGTCAAAAGTCTGGAGAATGTGGTCACCTAAAGTTTGACATTCACATTAGATCCTATTATCTGAAACAAGTAAAGGACTGATGTGAAAATAAAAGGCCAGTAAGGATTACCTCTGTGAAGAATGTGTTGATCTTGGTTTCCTGTCTTGTGTGAGCATGGATGTAGTCAGCTAAACAGCTATTGCTTTGTTCCTCAAAGTACACCTTGGCCATATGTTGACTTTCCACTTTTGGTAGGCCCGTGCAATCCAATCGTACCACAGAGTCTGGTGTAGCACATTTGAGAAGTATGAGTTTGGCCTGATCAAGCAGTCCTCTCTGAGAATCTGAAGTTTCCAAATTGTCCTTCTGCTCCTCTATTACTTGAAGAATCACAGAAGCACAGGTGTCTGAGTGGTAGCCAATGAAAACATCAGGGATTGTGTACTTGTACATATCAGCTGCTCCAGCATGCTGACCAGTAAGAGATACAAATAGCTTTGCCCATCTCCCTAGTTCTTCAACCATCTTTTTCTGCTCAGCTTTAAGGACAGTATGGATGTCAAGGTAGTGTTTCTCCAGCCGGTTAATTAGAGGTATTGGAAATTGTTTGTAGACCACTTCTCTTTCCTCAATGACAATTAGCCGGAAGTCTTTGTGCACTCTGCATTTTACACGATGGGTTCCCAATCCAAGATCGACATATTTCTGTCCTCCCAAGCATACGTAGTACTGATTGAGAGCATCATAGAGGCTTTCATAGAGATTCTGCAAGTTTAGAAGCACAACTGTTTGGCCTGTCTCCATGCAGATTTTCACTCTGTTGATGTTGCGACAGATTTGGGTGTACTCTTGGTCTTTTGGAAAGCTAGATCCAAAGATAATTTCCGGTTGACCACCTTCTGAAAAGAATGTTTGCTGTAGGATCTGTAGGGCTGCATAGTTTTTTGTTAGCACAAGAAGGTACCGACACTCTTCATCTTGTCCAACTGATTGAATGTTTTCTTTCACAAAGTCAATGGTGTTGATGTTCTCCAAATTTGGAGAAATTTTAAGTCTTTGGGTAAAGACAGAAACTACATCAACATCATCCCTGCCACTGAAATTTCTCAAAACAACCTTGACAATCTCCTCTGCTGCAGGTTTTCGTTGAGAGGTCTTGGCCACAGCAAAGATCATCTTTATCAAGCTGTAATAGTCACGTAGGCCAAAAAATCCTTTCCCTTGTTTCCGGCAAATGTTCAAATAGGATCTTGCAAATGGTTGTAAGAAATCCCTGACTTTCTCAAGGACCATCACATCAGACGAGCATATGCCTTTAGCACTCTCAATGAGCTCTTTCTCATCAGGGTCACCACGTGAGACAAAAATGCCTCTGTTCATCTTTGCAGGGTCCAATGCCCAGTTGGAAATACCAATGAATCCAACTTTTTTGTGCGGTAGTGGTTCATCATCAATGCATCCCTCTTCCAGCAATGGGTGAAGAGTTTTTAGTGGCATCTTTGGAGAGTCCTCTGCCAGCCCAATTTCATCAAGAACCACAACCGAAATATATTCATTGAGGTTTTTTCCTTCCTGAAAGCGGCCACATTGCTTAAATGTGTTGATGATACCTTCAGGTGTCGAATGAGGACTACACTGAAAGGATACCAAATGGATCTGTTTGAGCATCTTATAGAGTTCAGAATGAGCAGCTTGCCCCTGCATGGCATCTGCTACTAGAGTTTTGGAAAGGGACTTTGAACTTCCAGGTTTTCCAACTAAGAACAAGGGGATTCTTAACTCAATGCAGAGAACCATCATGAAGACATTTTCTTTGAGGGCACTGTTTCTTGCAATAGTATCTCCCATTGGAACACCACTCAAGAGTAAATCTTGCATGAGTGAAATTTCATGCATTACTCTCATTGGGGTGTATGATGGTAATTTGGTACAGATTTTTTGTCTGTATTTGTCCTTATTTTCAAGGCAGGCATGGTAACATACTCCTATGGCCATGACAAGGGACCACAGAACAGGGTCTTGAACATCAGGTTGTCTTTGTTGCCGTTCATTTCTGTCATCGTTTTGAGTAGCTTCAAATTTTTGAAGCTCTGAAAAGAACATCTCATGGTGGTCATGAAACCAAACAAAAGCTTGCATGCAGCGCTCTACATCTCTTAAGCTGACAAAGCTGCATTCATCCTTCCTGGTTCTCATGTACTTCTGTGAGGCTGAAAGAACATCTGTGATGCATTTGATGTAGGTTTCATCTATTGATTTACTTGTAGTGACTCTTTGCACAATCTGCTGGATGTATATTTTTTCTGTGTGATCATTTAACTGTCCAAAGTCCCATACCAGAGGAATCATGCTTGGTGGCAATGCTTGAACTCTATACACCAGCTGGCGCAAAGGTATAGACCCCAGTTTTTCATCAGTCTCTTCCGCTCGAACTCGATACCCAAGACCAGCAGATTCCAACCTTTGAATCATGTCAGCTGTGTGCTTTCTGTAGGGATTGCATGCTGCAATAATCTGTAACCCTGAGTTGGGTGTTAAACGTTCTCCCTTCACAGTCTTGTCACAAAGGACCTCCTTGATACTGCTGATAGCCTCTGTAGTATTGGCCTCATCAAAGAAGAGGACAGAGTCAAATCCATAGTCTTGCTTGTTGATTGAAGCAATGTTTTCTGCTTCTCTGACTTTACCATAGATCATCTCTGAAGTTGTCCCTCCATGAACCTTGACCAGTTTCATGTTCTCAGTTGCAACTCCACTCCTTCGCAATTCACAAAGGAATTTTATTAGCCGGGTTTTTCCACAGCCTGTTTCTCCCATTACGATGACAGGTATGCCACATCTGAACCGCATGTGGATAGCTAGCATCTTTAAAATGTTGTCTGTGGTAAGTTCATACGTTTCATCAGGGTCAAGAGGCCACTGGATACCAAGAACATTGCAGATTCGCTCTATTTTCTCCCATCTTGGGAGACTATCAAAGTCTATATTGAAAGGAACTCTTTGGAGCTGTAAGCCTTCATACAATGCTCTGGTCATGACATTCTCTCTGATCACCCTTCCAGAGGTGGGTTCAATGGCATCAACAAAGTTCTGATCATTGGGTTGAAGATGAAAGCCAATAAAGGTCATGGAGGTGTGATCATCATTGAAGAAGATGTATGGATGTGGCTCTGTTTCCCATCTTTTTCTGATGAGAAAAGGAGCCAGGTCTTCATCTCGGACACCAACCAGATTAAATTGTGACATGCCAGGACTCTGGTCAGAGATACTAAGTGATGGAGTGGCAAAGTCCTTTGCCATCAGAATCATAAAATCCACCACAAAGGTTTTGAATCCAGTTAGTGTGTCTCCAGTGAAAGTGGCATCACAAAAGACTGACGTCTCACAGTCTCTTAGTTGAAGGTTAAGAAACCAAGTGAAATTTCTAAGTTCAGCCCAGGAGGGGTCCATTACCCCACAGTACATGAGAAGCATCTGAAGACATTCTACGTGTGACCCCTCAACACCATGATATGTGAAAACATCTAGATCGATTTTGTTGTGGAACCGTGTCAAGTACTGGTATGGCCGCTGAAAGGCCTCACTCCTGAACTCTTTATCATCCATCAGTGGGTCCTCACTGCTCACAATAGTAGGATTCTCCTGCTGTCTCATCTCTAGCATAAGGACCTCTTTGGGTGGTCGGCAGAAGATTTTAGGAAACATGTCCAAAAAAGTGTTACTTGCTGTTTGTACCTATTAAGAAAAGTAGTAAGAAGAAAACAGGTAAAGTAGACAAAGATATACAAAGACTGAAAAAATACTAATTGTTAAAAGTCTTACCTCCCGAGTAGCATTTCCCGTTGACTTGACAGTGGGCTCTAAAATCTCAATGACATACAGCTGCTTGTCATTGCACCGCCACATTTTCCCCTCAGAGTCCATCAAATAGCGCAGAATCAACAATTTGAATAGGAATTCTGGAAGTCCTTTCTGGACCTTTTCAGGAGCAAAAAGTACAGAGTAAAAAAAGGTTACTCGAGGTTGAGAATCAGATGGCTGATTTTACACACTATTAAAACTACATCACATAAATGTTTACACTACAGGGCAGTTTCTCCTGTCTTAGTCTGTAAGGACAACCAAACGTTGCTTTTCTTTTTTATCCGTGTAATAGCTTGACGGACAATAAACAATAAAACACAGTCTGTCAAAGTAATTATTTCAATGACTTAATATTAAATAACATAATATTTACCGATGATGTGACATCAAAATGGAAGATAATGAGTTCTTTCCTTTTGGGAGTGTCAAGCAAAGATTGAAGGATGACAGTCTCGTCAACTTTAGGTTCAATCAAGCAAATACATTTCAACATTGACTGCTTTTTAGTAGAGTGTTTAAGTTTTTCATACATCCTCCTGATGTACAAGGATTTACCTGTAATTTAAAAAAAAAATAAATTCAGAGCTGTAAACAATTAAAAAAAGTTTCCAGTAGTGATACTGTATTTTCATATACTCACCAACACCAGCCCTTTGAGATGAAACAACACCAACGCACAGTCTATCTTTAAAAGCTGCTGCAGCACTGCACTGTTCTGCTGGGACAGTGTAGTGTTGTTGCAGGTACTGCTGGATCCTTGCTAATGGCTCTTGGGGAATCATGTGCAACCTGTACTGGCTGAAGGCAGATGGAAGATAGGCATGTTCTCTCTCTGAGCTACAAATAACAACAAGCCTGTAATCCTTCCTGCTTTGCATTTTCATCAGCTGGAAAAAGTTTTCAACTTTAGAGCTCACATCGTAACTCAGGAGATCTCCATATACCAAAGAGTATATTTTTTGTCCCCTGTAGCCATTGCCAAGGCAGCGTCTGAGGAACAGCTCCACTTGCTCATATGGGGTCGAGTGGTTGCACAGTAGGACTTCATCATAGGTTGGAAGAGCTTCATCTTCGCTGCTCATGTAAATTGAGATGCAGGACGCCAAGGCATCATCATGAGGACAAACAATGAGATTTGGCTTTCCATTAACAAAACCTCTGGGCAGTTGCCTGTTAATGAGCTGTCCACTGCTGTCATCAGAAATGTCTTCTTCTTCATCTTCATCATCTTTGTTGGCCAGTAGTTCTAACACTCGGCCAAGACTTTTTATATCAAGAATGTCTGGGAGAAAATTCTTCATATCTTTCATGTAAGCATTCCATATGTGATCAAATCCCTGCAGACCCTTTGCTTTTTCTACAAGACTTTGCAAAGGATCCAGTTCACTTGTAAACTCTTCCAGGTCACTTGTTGACACCACAACAAAAGTCTGAAACTCAATGTCCTCATTTTGATCCTGGGGTTTAGTAATGATTTCATACTGGAGCTCATGCCACACTTGCCTCAGATCTGTGGATGTGCAATTTGGCTTGATAAAGGAAAGCATCATAAGGACTTGGTCCTCAACCTTGTTTACATTTTGTTGTGTCAGCTTGCTACAAAGGTAGACAATCTGCTCAGCAGTGTAGTAGTTTAAGAAATATTGTTGGGATCTCTGTTTGTGTACAAAGTTCATCCAGAATTCCAGACATTTCTCCATTTTTCTGCAGAGCTCAGGAAGCTGCTCCTCTGGGCTGCCCTCCACAATGACACTAAGAGCCCTGTCCAAATTAAAATCCATCAAAATGCTGGGTTCAGCATAACTTGAAGAGCAATTAATCTGCACTTCCCAGTATCTGAATAGAGGATTTCCAGCAGTGTAAAGAGCAATGAAGGCCTCTGTCAGTCTTTGAACACTGGCAAAAACCTGTAACACAGAAAGAGCAACTTACAAGACAGAAAATACCCTTATGAATGAATTTTAAAAACTATTTAGGATTTTATATACAATCTCTGATTAAATGAATAATCGATATTGCTTAACATGTAGTACATGGCACCAGCTCATAAAGCCTCAGCATGTAACTTTTATGAACAACATATTTCTTAAAACTATCACCATATAAAGATAATATGAGACTGAAAAAATTTAGCTTCTCAACCTCGTCTACTATTGCTGTCTGAAGAAATGCACCACTGAAAAGCAATCAGTCAGAGCCAGGAGGAGCCTCTTAGCACTGTCAATCAACCTCGTGTACGCATTGATAAATGGTGGAGAAACAACTTACCTTAACAGGAAAACTGTTTATCTGCCACCATCTGTAGCCATGCTAACTAGCCTTAGCATTCATGTCAGGTTCTACCGACAAGGAGAAGCTGCATGTATCAGAGCGTAAAGGGGCAATGGGAAAAGGAGTGACCGGCACACACATGGCCATGATTGACAGTGCTAACACCCCCCCAAACTCTGACTGATTGTTTCCAGTTAGCACTTGGATTTTTCACAGACTGTCTCATACTATTCTGTCATGACAGTGACAGTTTCAACAAATACAGAAAAATACATATATTATATAAAAGTAACATACTGCAGCTTTAATGTGCTGACAGAGATCATGTCAAAAACACTTCATTAAAGTGACCATCATTATGAATGAGATTTTGACGATTAAGAATTATGCACAATTATAAATCATGACATAACACTGTTGGCAAGAAAGCAGATCCAATTAATGTATTGCAAATGCAAATCTCTTGATAATGCAAGACATTTGCATGTCTTGATAATGCAAATCTCCACAGTGATGATCATGAATTTTGTAACATGTCAAAAATAATCCATTTGTAATTTTGATAACATTTCAAACTTCTTGTCATAAGTTCAATCAATTTGTAATGAAATAATGCTTATAGAAATATGATTAAATGGTCTTTCTACAGTATTTAATAATTTCATTTTACCTCTACAAAACGTTCAACTTCATTCTGCCCTTGGTCCCCTTTTCCAGACATGAGCATGAGTTTGTTTTGTAGCTCCCTCAGGTCTTCAAGAGAGTAGCAGCGCATCTGCTGACCTTCATCGTGCTCCTCTGGAATCTGACACTTCAGGGCCGTTTCAAGACTCAACTAGATAAAAGAAACATACATAAGCTTGTATCCATAATATTTGAACCAGATATATATATACCAAATAAAAAGACATGTACACTTTTTTTCTCACCGTCTTAGGTAAAGTCTGACAAAACCTCTCTTTTTTTATGTCGTTTAGAATTACTCAAATTATTTATTTTCCTAAATGCCAAAAAAACTTAAGAACAATTTTAGAAATATTTGTATAATTTTTCTCAAATTCAACAGTTTACGTACATTTGATCAGTCTTTTAAACTGTGTGTCATATGTAAAACATTTTGGGCTTCCTTCCACAAACTTTGATAGATCAACTGACACTTTTGAGTTAACTGGAGGCACACCTATGCATGTATTTTTAGGATACACATGAAATGCGTCGCTTTCTTGTTTGACACAATGGGAAGCTCCAAAGAAATTAGCCAAGACATCAGGAGAAGAACTGTGGAGCTGTACAAGTACAAGTGTAGTTCATCATTGAAACAATGTACCCTAACCCTACATACATCTGTTCAAACAATTATATGAAAGCATAGACATGATGAAAATGTCCAACCATCCAAGCATACTGCTCATGAAGGAGATTGGCTCTGTGTGCCAGAGATGAATGTTTTGGTACAAAATGTCCAGATTGACTTAAGAATAACAGTCAAAGATCTAATGTAATGTTGGCTAGTAAGGCAGTGTCATTATCCAGAGTGAAATGTGTCCTATATTGAGATGGGCTGAAAGGCCATTGAGGAAAAAGCTTTATTTCAAAAGAAGCATAAAAAGCCACATTGCAGTTTGCAGATGTACACAGCAACAAAGATCTCCATTTTTGGAGATATGAGCTGTAGTCTGATGAAAATATTTGGGCATAACAACCAACATTTAGAGGAACAGGGATGCTTAAAAGTACAGGGGGTGGCAGTGTCACATGCTGATGCAGTTTTGATTCAGGAGTAACAAGTGCATTTCATAAAATAGATGTTTTCATGACATCTATTTGTCATGATGACATCTATATAAAGAACATTATATAGAAATATCAATGTAACAGCCAAAGACATCAGTAAAAGCATGAGCTCAAATGGGTTTTTCAAATGGAATATAACCCTAAGTGTGCAGCTGAAGTGGGTACAGAGAGGCGTAAGAATAACAAAGTCAATGTTTTGGTGTGGCAATTACAAAGTCCAGATCTTAGTTCTATGGAGAACTTGAGGAAAGATCTGAAAAGGCTTGTGCGAGATACAAAATGGACTCAGTTACACCAGTTCTGTCAAGTGGAATGAGCCAGAACTCCAGGAAACTATTGTGAGAAGCTTGTGGAAGGAAACCTAAAACATCAGACCCAAGTCATACAGTTCAAAAGACAGTTTTCCCTGAAACTGTATGACATGTATGTAAATGTTTGAATTCAAGGAAAGTTACAAAAAATATTGTAATTGTAATGTAACAAGATGCTCTTACTAAGTGTTCTGGTATTTAGGAAATAGAAATAATTCTGGCCATTCTGACATAAAACAAGAGAGGTTTGATCAAGTTTAACTTCAGACAGTGAAAAATGTGTATGTATTTTTATTTGGTGAAGGTAAATATTAGGTTTCAACAGTATTTTCTTAAAGATTACCTCTTTAGTGCCTAAACAGACCAATCTATCTTACTGAAGTGTTTTTACCTTTTTCACATCCCGTGCATTGATTAGGTAGATGCCTTTGTTGTTGATGGCTGAGGCCAATGAGAGAGATGATAGCTCCACTGATCCATGGCTGTCCTTCACAGTTTTTAGCCACTCCAAGTGACGTGCACTGTCACGCTACAATATTTTTTAAACAAAAATATCATAAAATATCCTTTTCCCCAAATATTAACATTGATATGAATGTTAATTGGAAATAATCTTAATTAAAATCTTATTTATTTTTATAATGTCTCCTCTCACCAGTTTTTTTGGCAAATTGTTGTCATTCTCCAAAGCCCTCCAGAGCTTGTTCAGCACATCTTTGAAGGCACGAAAACCAGCGTCTGCTTTGAGCTCATAAAGTACAGAAGAGTAACCAAGGACCGCATCATGGAAACAAGCTACACGATCCACATCCATGTCATTCTCTCCAGCAGAGATAGAAGCCAAGTCGACAAACACCTTCAACTCATTGATATCTAAAATTACAATTTAAATGAACATTTTCAAATAGTTTCCCAACATACCACTTACATGAATTTAATACATAAAACCATAAGCATACACACCCTCTAGGGCATCCTTTACCCATCTGACAAAGGGTCGTTTGTGTCCCAGTTCATTCAAACACAACCGGCGAGGCTCTGTGATGTCAACCAGCACCATCTTTGCCTGCATCAAGTCATTATCAATCCTATTTAGTGGTTCTCTCTTGAAGTCTTGACGAATCTGAAGAGAAATGGGAATTGAGTTTAAGTGTGTTATTAAGAACAAACTCTATGAATGTGTAATATTCATAAACACACCCCATCTAACCTTAAACACACCTTTAACTAAATGCCCTTGGTACACTAAGATTAAGTATAATCAACCTTTTATACTCAAGACATCTTGAATATTTAACATTCAAGATGTCACTGAATGTTATGACCCTGAAGTGATGTAATTTTAGTTTTATTTAAATGTTTATCAATATGTAAAAATTGATATATGTATTTTTTTTTCCTCTATGTCTGCAATTTTATTTCTGGGTTCCCAACTAATTGATTGTTCAGAACTGAGGAACTATCCAGTCAACACACAGAACTAAAACTAATAATGTTCCATTAATAAGTTTCTGAGGAAAACATAACTACTATTGAAGCAGAAGCTCACTGTCACTTCCATTTGACATACAACAGAAACTTACATGGCCTACACTAAGTTATTTTCTGGTGTTGGTGACACTGGCGTGTCATGGTAATAGGGAAAATAACATGTAATAGTTGTTTGGAAACTTTGAATTCTTCTCTTCTTTCTCCCTCTTTCAAATTATTTTCCCTTCTAGAACCCCCTCGCTTTTTTAAATGTGATTCAAGTCATTCAATAGGTGAATCCTTCAGACAAACTCTCAATACTTTGACTGATTATGTTTCATGACACTGCTTATTCACATACATTAACTTGTCTAAACAAGACAAGATGAAAGACAAGATGGCGGCGCGTGTAGACGCAGCGGCTCGGAGCTCCCGTGTTTTCGTTTTTGTTAGCCGTTTTTATTGATGTCTTCGCTCAACACACTACTGGAAGCCTTGACAACTTATAGCAGATCAGAACTGTAGAACATAGGGGCACAGTTTGGACTTCACACACCCACCAAGCTGGACTTTATTCCTCCAGAGCTGCTTCGAACACCTGGAACTATGATCATTCCCCCCCTGCTGCGAAGGCGACGGAGGAGGCAGCGCAAACAAAAGAGGGGCAAGAGAGCCGGCGTGCGTGCAAGGCTACAAGCTAACCCTCACAGACCGGCCCTCCCCAGCCTCTTCCTCGCCAACGCCAGGTCCCTCGTCAACAAAATCGACGAGGTGCGACTCCGAATTATCTCTCGCCGGATGGACAGCTGTGTGACTGTTGTCACAGAGACCTGGCTGGATGAAAACATCCCAGACTCAGCGGTGGAGATAACGGGGCGCGCTCTGTTCCGGGCGGATCGGACGGCAGCTTCGGGTAAGAGCAGAGGCGGAGGTTTGGCATTGTATGTACACAATGCCTGGTGTACAGCCACACACTCTGTCGGCACATTCTGCTCTCCTGACTTGGAATATCTGGCGGTGAAATGCAGACCCTTCAAGTTGGTGAGAGAACTCTCGTCCATTGTGATCGTGGCCGTCTACATACCACCGCGGGATAATGCTAAGTTAGCATTAGAGGAGCTATACTGCCTGATCAGCGGGCAGATGAACTCCAACCCGGAGGCGGCCATGATTGTGGCGGGGGACTTTAATCACGTGGAACTGAAGGCTGTGTTTCCCAAATTCCACAAGTTCATAAACTTTCCCACCAGAGACAATAACATTTTGGATCAGGTTTACTGCAATACCCCCGGAGCCTACAAGGCTGTAGCAGGTCCACATCTGGGCATGTCTGACCACATCTCAGTGGAGCTGATTCCTGTACAAGCCTCTGGCCTGCAGAACTAAGCTAACCACCAGAATAGTTCAGGTCTGGACTGAGGAGGCCTCCTCTGCACTTCAGGACTGCTTTGAGCACACAGACTGGAGTGTGTTCAGGGACGGAGCAGACTTGGAGGAATACTCATCGTCCGTTCTGTCCTATATTCAGTTCTGCACCGATGCTGTCCTCCCTGTTAAGTCCATAAAAGTGTTTCCAAACCAGAAACCATGGCTGGATAGCACAGTACGGGCCCTGCTGAAAGCCCGGGATGCTGCCTACAGATCTGGAGACAGGTTGGCTTATAGCAGGGCCCGGTCGGAACTGAAAAAAGGAATTAAGCAGGCCAAGCTCCAGTACAAACAGCGGATTGAGGAACACTTCATCAACAACAACCCCCGAAGCATGTGGAGAGGCATCAGGACCATGACAGACTACAAACACAGCACTCAGCTGACCAGCCGCGACCCCACCCTGCCTGACACCTTAAACAGCTTCTTTGCCCGCTTTGACACAGTGGGCAGCAGAGAAGCTGTACATCTACCCCGACTGGAAGAGCAGTACCAGCCTCTCGTCCTGCAGCAGCACCAGGTGACGTCCACCCTGAGGAGGATCAACACCCGCAAAGCTACAGGACCGGACAAGGTGTCAGGCCAGACGCTGAAAACGTGCGCCCCACAGCCGTCAGAGCCATTACTCCCTGCCGCCCCCTCCCACACATATCATAACCTCACATACCCCCCCCCACCCCCACACAGCCATATTGTTCTGCACTTGCACTGTCACATCATCTGCACTTTACCATAATTGGACCTGCTGCTTCTTCTTTGGTGTGGTTGAGTGCCTTTAGTTAATTTTAGTTGTATATATTATTATTATTGTGTGTTTGTTTATTTAACCCTCCTCTTGTCTTCGGGTCATTTTGACCCGAAGACAACAGGAGGTTGTTCTTATTTTTTTCGTCAAGTTCACATTTGAATTGCTCCAGCAGAAAATTCCATCTGAGTTGTGAACACTGTAGGTCTGATTCAGGACTGTTAGATTTCAAGTTTCTGTATGCAGTTGCAATTAAAAAAATGTTTTATAAGGGCTTGTCCTCGGGTCATGTCAACCCGAGGGCAACAGGAAGGGGGGGAAATTTGAAAAGATATCAGTTTTACGGAGATCAATGATGCCATTCCATACTGTTTGCCTGTCCAGCTGTAATTTCCTTAGTCTTCCGGTCAGTCTGACCTGAGGCCTGGGTTTGGTTATCTTTATTTCTTTTGTAAAGTTCACATTTGGATTGCTTGAGCCTAAACTTCCCCCTGAGTTGTGCACACCATAGTTCTGATGCAGGACTGTTAGATTGAAGTTTCTGTATGCAGCTGCAATTGAAAAACATATTTTTTAAGGGCTTGTCCTCGGTCGACATGAGCCGAGGACAACAGGAGGGTTAATATTGTATTTTTTGACTTTTTGCACGGGAGTTGCAATAGAAATTTCGTTGAATCCTGTTCAATGACAATAAATGCTATTCTATTCTATTCTTCTATTCTATTCTACTTACAATGTCCGTCAGCGTTTCCAAGACCTTGAAGTCCCCTTGGAGGCCAAGTGTGTCTTTGACCATCATAATAACTTTAGCAGATTCCACAGCGAGATGAAGCTCATGATATTGCTGGACTTGTTGGACCCTCTGATGAATCCACTGTTTGTTTTCAGATGTATCCTGTTTGGACATGATATCAAGCTCTTGAGTGAGATCATCATACTTGTCCTTGTAGGCTTTGAAAAGATGATCGACTTCTTCAAGTCTTATGCTTCCATTTTTTAAGCGAGTGTAGATGTCTTTGTATTCATCCCTACAAGGCAAGTAGATCTCATCATATATCATTTCTGGTGTGGCATCAATATCCTCCTCAGAGGGCTCCTCATCCACATCTTCAGTTTCGTCTCTGACCATTTGTATGGCAAATTTTTCCCAACACATTTTTAGGACAATACTTTCATTGAATTTGTATAGGAATGTTGCCATGTCTCTCATTTCCTCGTCCAGGCTGAAGAAGGTAACAATTCCAGACATTGCGGTAGCCACTTGGTCAAAATGATGAACTTCCATGAAATGGTTCAAGGGCATCATCTCAATGTTGATTTGTGTTTTGTCCTCCAGGTCAGAAACATCAACTAATAAAATAAACAAAATAACCACTCGTTAGCTTTGCAACAACAAATCAAAATTAACTAAACTTCTTTATGTAAGCCTCATACCTCTCATATGTTCTTCAAGTTTGTGGCTCATTGATAATATGACAACCACAAGCTCCTTTTCGTGGTACACAGACTTCACTTCTTCTGCTCTGTGTTGCAAAAACCTTTTCATTTTGGAAAGATCTCTGTGTTGTTCTTTCTCTGTGAGGCAGTCTTTTAAAAACATAACATACAAAAATATCAAGTTTCTTTTCGATTTTATTTAGTCAATTGTTTCAACTTCAGTTTTTATTTTAAAAGAATTTACCGATCTTCAGCAAATCTAAGAAGGCATCTTTCCTCTCCAGAATGATGTTGAGCAGACTGATTTTAATGTCTCCATGTATCAGCTGATTGATTATGGCTGTGAAGGCTGATATGGCTATAGCCAATCGGTCTCTGGCATCTTGAGAGAGCTTTTCAATCAGCTTTGTGTCTGCACCTGTATATACAGAATTTAAAAGTAATTGTCTCTTTATCCCAAAGCAAACAGCCAAATCACGTATTAATTATCTCCAGTTTGTGGTTTGTTGTTTAATTGATTTTTAAACAAGGGGTTACTCAGTTTTGTGTGCCTCTCCAAGCTAAAGAATGCTTTTCTTCAGACTATACTGTTTCATAGGATCTTTTTAAAGTAAAAAAAAATACCATATAGGTGAAAAATATCTTTAGCTGCAGTCCAGGAGAGGAGGTGCTGAAGAACCATTTCTTCTTCCTCCTGATATTTTCCTTGACCATCCCTCGGCCAGGACTTTTGGATGATTGCAGAGATGAGCTTCCCGAACTTCCAGTTTATATTTAACCTCTCAAACAGTTTTCCTTCAGACCTAGTCTGCATACAATGAGAAGACAATCATTCAGCTAATCAATGGGAAAAATTCAAATGTGCAGTCTATTTTCATTATTTTTTCCTTTCTTGTCAAGGAGCTTATAATATATTTAAGAAACATAACCATTTTGCCCATTGGATACATTTTCACATAACCAAGACTTCCAAAAGCTAGTGAAGCATTTGATAAATAAAATCAAAAGTGTCATACCTGGCACAAAGTCGTGACGGCTTCAAGAGCACACTTCTCAATGCTCCCAGCAACATGTGGATAGCAATCACTAAACTCCTCTATATTTTTACAGTAGAATTCAATTTGATCAAGTGAAGATTCCTAAAACAAAAACAAAAATTTCATAAATTAATTAAATCACTGTTATCTCTGACTGAAAATAATCTCAACTCTCCAGTGCATCACCTACCTGTTTGAACTTGCCCTCAAAGTCCATAATAAATGTTTCCCTCCATTCTTTTGTACATTTTTTATCTTTGAAGTTAATGGAAATAATGTTGTTCCATGTCTGAAATGTAAGAATTAAAAAACTCATAAGATGCATGTTTTGTCAATATTTGGCTAAAAAGATAAAAAAAAATAAAAAAAAACTCACCTCCAGTTCCGTTGTTTTTGCTGAGTAAAGGCTTGTTAGTCTCCACTTTAGTAAATTTTGTTTGAATGACCGATTCACCCAGTTTCTCATTACTTCCATCCCCTGAGAGATTACCAAGTCTTTTGCATGTTGCTGTTCTCCATCTGCATCCTCAGACTCCTAAATAGTATTTACAATTTTCAATTTGTACAAACAAACGTAAGTCAAACTCTGCTGATAAGACCTATGGATTTACCTGTTCCTTGTTAGACAAAAAGAAATCTGAAACTAAAGCAAGAAGATTTGTCGCTGCCACAGGGATCTGTGGAAAGTTTTGGGTAGACGTTTCTGGTTTGACTCCTTTGCAGAGCTTCTCTAACAACGTCATCGCAGTTGTCAGACATTCCTTCCTGTAAGCCTGTGTGAAGCCGCTATGATGAAGAAAATTAATAGATGAGTTGGGTGATACTCAAACATGAAATGGCTCTTAATAATTTAAAGTCCTGGGTGAGTTCCTTACCACGTTTTTGTAAAGAAAATATTAAGCATAGCCAAAATAATCTGTACCAATTGCCCACCTTACATCCGTAAATTATTATTTTTTTAAATCAAATCCATAGCTACTCTATACACATATGACAAACTCACTCACTATGCCTTGCGTTAGCTGCAGTAGACTTTTTTTTTTTCTATCTGAGCAAAATGAATAAAAATTCATTTGTGCAAAGAAGTGAGATTTTCACCAACTTCCATTGACTGTTTGGTTTTGTTTCCTTTTCCTAAATCAAGTACTCCATGGCTCAATACTGTACAGAATTAGGAAAAAAGATCGAAGAGGAATAAGACATGCCCATTAGTCATTTCAAATCTGCCAGAAGCAAAGCAGCCAGAGCTCAGAGCTCATACTAAATGAACTCCTCCGAAATGGACAAACTCCACATAACTCTTTGCTTTGTGAATTCACATTGGATGTGAATATTTTGCAATCAACCATCAGTTGAGTAGCCATGTTTAGTGTTCTTTAAACAACAGCATGTACATACAGTAACTATTCTAAGTAACACACCTAAACATAATTGATGCTTTTAAATTATCTACTGTTAAAGATGAGAACTTTGAAAATTTAAATAACTTTTTTAATTATTTTTTTCTAGATTTCAATCTTTACCTTTTCAGTTTTATTGTGAGCCATCTCTAACAACTCATACTCATCTAATGTTGAGAATTGTCCTTTATGTAAAAGTCAAAGATCACTGGTTGAATCCTTAACTGGTAGTCATAAATAAATAGATACAATTTGCAGGCTTCACAAACACAAAAGATTTTATTGATGTCACTACCTGTATTTTTCCTCAATGAGATGCTCTTGGATGTGTGCAAGAATTTTAGTGACATCCTAGAAAACATAACAGAAAACCAGAAATAATATTAAGTGACACTGTCACCAATAACTCCTGACTCTCATTTTAGAAGGCAACAAATTTCCATGCAGTTAGAGGTTCATATGCAGACATAGATATATGCCATAAAGCATAATGCCAAGTAAAGACTTCTAAAAAGCTGGTGATTTCAGAAATACAATAATGAATGATAATCTAAATTTAGCACTGATTTCCACTCACCTCAGAGCTGCTGGCAGTAATGTCGTGAGGAACCTTATTAGTAAAAACATAAAGTATGTCCAGAAGCTCGGGTTTAACGCTGGAGCTACAGTCCAGCTGTTCCTCAAGTGGCATTAAGTACAAGCAGGACCGAACTAAAAGTGGATCCAGCTTCATCAAGTGACTGTTTTTCTTCATCACATTCATAAGTTCTCTGAAAAAGAAACAATCAAAAAGTAACATTGATCTATTTGAAAATAAAAACTTAAAAATAATCTGCAGACAGTTAAAAACTGATGGAACTTACTTCCTGCTTTGAATGTTAAAGTGTATTTGGTTAAAGTCAATGCCTTCCAAACCTGCCCAGGACAAACTATAGTTTCTGTTTCCAGAGGTTTTTCCTTCAAAAGGCTTTATGGTACCTCTCAGCAGATGAAGGAGTGGCAGTAATGTAATCCAGTGAGGCATTGAAGCACTTTTGACCATTTTGATGAGATCCACCAGCATTTCTGGCAAACTACAAACAAACAGCTTTTAAATATTTATTCATAATCTGTGGGATTTAATGTTTTGCATATAAAGTGTCAGATCATTTCATTCTCCGTCATTGCTTCCAAACAAAGGTCTTAATCTTCTTCTTTACTAAAATTCATGTTTTGTTATTAAAATTAAGATATTTTGGGTACCTACTTTTTGAATACTGAAACAGCTTGAGAAAAATTTGCCCAGAACTGAAGAAATTTGTCCTTCTCTAGTTCAGGCAAACACAGTGCAGAACAGAGGCGGAAGAGCTCAGAATTTTCAAGTTTGAGTTTGTACTGTCTCCACACATGAAGCATGACCACAGCTGCTCTCATGTGGTCTGGGATGTAGAGATTTTTCTCAGCCCTATCCTGGAGCTGAGGGATCACGTGTGTCAGCATGAACTCTTTCAGGATCTTCCTCACCTATAATATTGCATTAAAAATAAGAGTGAGTTAAATTGGCCAAAAATCAGGGTCTAGATTGCAAACACAATTTCTGAACTTACTTCGTCTTCCCCAAAGTGTAAGGAGAACCATTTCTTTTCCTTTTCCTCAAATACAAAAGGGTTTGCATAAACCTGGAAAAACTGATTTAGCTGAATTTGAAAACTTTTTACATTGGTATCACTCCAGCTCATCAGAAGATCAAATATTGAATTCAGCATCACATCGGCAGCAATTTCTCGTCCTTGAATCAGACTTTTACGTTGATCAGGCCAAAGCTTATCCTTGAGGCGAGCCAGCATGCCCTTTGATGGCTCAGCACAGATGATGTCGTCATACTGATGCCAGTCCCCTTTACCAGAAAATAGAAAATAAATACTTGCTACACAATCACAGCGTAAATTGAAATGCTAATATACTAGCTAAAATGACTGCACAGTTTGACTGAGAGACTTTTTTTTGTTATTTATTTACCATCATCAGTGATGAGGTGTTGTTTCACAAACAAGCACCTGTTGATATAGTGATGTGTAGAGTCTAGTTTGTATATGTACTCAAACTCATAACTCTTCTTTTGTTTCTTATAGACAACATATTTGTATGCTATGGACTCAGACACAACTTTGGATTTTCTCGTTGTGAGGCTTCCTTCAACAAGATAACCATGTTCTCCAAGATCCCTGCAGAGGAGAACAAATTATAGGCCACATGCTGTAAAATCAGTGAGACAAGAATGAAGTTCAACTTTGCATGTTTGTGGAATAACTAAAAACAATGTATTTCTCTTAAATTTCATGCATTATTTAAACATCTCTAATTATTCACCATTTCTTTATTGTTTGCAACCAGAGCCAGATCCTCTTTGAAAGTATTCTTAAATAATACTTCTTCAAAGCTTATTTTTTCCTAGCCAGGTCTTACCTCACCATTTTTACGGAATTATTTTTCTAGAAAAGCTTTTCACTCTCAAATATAAACCATTCAAACAATAAAAACCTCCTAAAATCAAAAGGTGAAACAGTTTTGTGTCAGCATTTAACATAACTTAGCAAAGAGTTAAAACCCAAGATTAAATTGAGTTTTTGGCACTTTCCTACCTGGTTACTTCCAGCTCTGCTGCATCTTCATTCCAGCTGTTTGCAATAGGTTTCCCAGCTCTGATAAAGATTCGATCTTCATCAGGATGAAATTTAAAATCTTTTGAAAGAACGGCATGGAAGCAAATTGTCAGCCTGTCTCGTGTGACAATGTTTTTGTTTTGAATTTGCCTAGAAAGCAAAAAGAAGAAAATTGGTTTACTGAACATAATTGTCCAAAAATAAAAGTCGTTTTTGAAAGTTGAACATGTCTTACGTTTTAGGCAGTGGTGCTGCTGGAGTTTTGGCTTTTGTGCTTTTCTTACTGTTTTGACTTTGTTGCTCCTCACTACCTGAAACTTCATTCTGCCTGTTCTCAGACTCCATGTTCTTTTCCGGATCCACAGTGGAGCCTGAGTTATCAGCCTGCAAAGTTAAGCATAAATGCCATTTGTACACACATTACACAGGTCTTTTTCATAAACAGTTTTGTAACACAAACATTAACACAACCATTAACCAACAGTACCTTTGATGGTGCTGACTTCTGCTTCTGGTCCTGCTGACCTTTTCCTTTCTGTTTCTGATCATCTTGACCTTTAGCCTTCTGCTGTGTTTCTTTTGCATTTGGATTTGAATTTGCATTCTTGTCCAGTCTAGATTCTACGGCAACAACAGATTCATTCTTGTTTTTTGAATTTTTTGGGATACCCTTTTGCTCTTTAGAATCAGCAGGCTTTGCCCCCTCAGCTGAAACTGACTGGGGGATCTGCTTGTCTGTTGAGGCTGAAGCTTGAGTTGAAACATCACCTGCTCCTTTCTCAGGTGTTTGATCCTGAACTGACTTATTGGCATCAGTCTCTTTCGCTTTGGTTTCCTCAGACTGACTTGCAGAAGTGTCCTCAGCTATAGGTACAGGTTCTTCAATCACTGTACTTTTAGAGGAGGCTGCTGTGCTATTAGCTGGTAATGAATGCTGTAGGGGTGAGCGGGGATCATCTTGGAGTGAGTCTGTCGTTTCCTCCATATTGGCATCTGAGCTTTCACTGTCACTGGTGTCTCCTCTTCCTTGTGTCACCTTCCTCTGACTGTCTTCCAAAGACACGAGTGACGGGTCAGACTGGCTCTGATCTTGGTCTGAAGGTATGTTGTTACCCTTCTTGTTTTGTTTTTTTTTCTTTTTTTCTTCTATAAAGGCCACAAAGAAAATATATGTTTTAATTCTGGACAAATGAAGGATTAATTCTGGCCTTGTTTCACAGATCATACAATTTCTGAAAGGTTTCTTTACATTTTTAATTCAAAATTCAGTTCTTATGACACAAATTTTCAGATTCCCATTTTCTTAAAAATGTAAATGCATAACTGCATTTCATTGTAAAAAATATACATTATGGTAGATATGTGTACGGTAGTCAGGCTTCAGCAGTTGGAAGATGCTAAAACCGCTGTCTGGAAATAACTAATTGTATTGTATACTCCATTTGCATTGCAATCCTTTATCATACCCCATAGAAAACTTGTTCATTTTATGAACAACTATGAGCTATGTGTCCACATGAACAATTATTGGTGCCAACACTTGAGATGATCTCATCAATAAGAAGAGTAAAACCGTTCAGGTTACTTACTCTCACCTTTTTCTTTGGGTTGAGTTGTTCATCATTGGGTCGTTTGGGAGATTTATTGGAGTCTATGCTCTCTGTGTCATGGACGTTTCTCTGAGAGTTTGATTCCTCCATTTTGCTTTCAGAGTTTGCAATCAGGGACTTAGGCTGATTTCCTGTGTCTGCAACAGAGAAATAAAACTAAGAATAAAAATCTAATTTGAAAAACAGTTACTTGAAAGTTTTTCTTTATTCCAAACTCATAACATTCCACATCAAATTATAACCAGATATCATAGAAGAGAGGTCACCAGATATATATATATTTTCTTTTGTAAATATCCTCTGGCATAAGTTTTAGTGATGCTGTGGGTCTGCTTTGAAAGGGATAAACATACTTAACAATCGGCATGAGGTGTTAAGTGAAAGCTTGTTTCACAACAAGCTTTTTGGTTGTTTCCAAAAAGCTTAATCTTAGTTACAATTCACCAAACATTATTATTTCACTTAAAGTCACAAAACAATAAAATTAAAACACATGAGATGACACTACTACTATAATAGATTAAGTAATTTTAAGTTTTTTTTAAAGCGCTTTAAAACTGATATGTATTATGGTAAATGTTAGGACGAGGACAAAGCTTGCTAAACAAACACTTATTTCTATGCAAGCTCATTATTAATTTGATTAGTAAAGTTTCACAGGATCACATTAAATGCTAGTTACTAAAATGTGCTTTTAAATAAATAACCATACTTTCATGTCACCTTCATCAATAAATTTTCTAAGCTTATTTTTTATTATTCCGAATGTAATAACTTTTCAACTCTCTTGAGAAAATGCTTACCCTTGACAATACCTTGTTAATTTAACAAGGTCAACAGACAGAATATCTGTTAACCTTATATGTTGAATTTTTAAACATATAAGCATACAAACATTTTTTTCTTTTTAATGATTAGTTAATACATGAGAATAAATTGAATCTCTACACTTGTCCACTTACCTTCTGTGTTTGAAGTTGTGGCCGGAAGCTTGAAGCCACACTCACTGCAAAACTTGGATTTCTTATCCAAAATATCATAGTCACAATGTGGACACTTCATCGTCAGGCTTGTGTCTACCAGAAAAGAAGAAAGTACCTTGTATTTGATGCCCCAATATAAGGCAGTATACTTTCACTTTCTGTTATGTCAAGCACGGTCTCATGATAAAGGCCTCAGATTTACAGAGAAAAGTAGTTCAAATCATGATCTTTGACCAACATTTACACAACAAACTGACTTGCAAGTTATTTGTTGTGCATCATAAAAATATTCTTTTACCAATTACCATGTGTTGATACACTTACCTCGCAAAAAATGAGGGGAGAGGTGAAATCTTACACCTTGAGCATTTCAAAAATAAGAAAAGTCCTCATACAACATAAAATTTTTTATTACTGCTAATTGGCTGAAGTTCAACAGACCTCACGTGGTACTCCTAGATAAACACTTTCTGATGGGTTTCCTTTTCCTTTCTCCGCCCTGCAGATAGTTGCTTAGTCATTTGGGGCACAGAAATAGCATATTTAGAGAATTACAACTATTTGGCTCAGATTTAATGCAGAGATAAAAATAATAAGACTATTTATTTACTTTCACTGTATTTTATTCTTTATTATTTCAAGTCAAATTTGGGTCAACCTTATTAATAAATATTTGTGATAACCACGATTTATTTCACATTAATGTGAGTCATTATTAAACTGGTAATAGATGCCGTTTAGTTTTGTCTCTGCTGGAAACCTCCAGTTCTGACCGAACGGTAACAGCTGAAGGCAACACAGTTAATTTTATTTTATTTTACTGTACCGTGCAGCATCACCTGATAACAAACGATCTTTGGCTATATATGTCGGCCAATCACATATCAGCGAAGAACTTCCTTGTTATTTTGACTACGCAAAAACGTGAACGATAGCTTAGCAATTACTTTTACGGCTACTATGATAATTTAAACAACAAGTCCCATCAGGAGTCCTCATTAAAAGCTATAAGTCACGTCAGAAAAATAGCACCACCGCTATAAGCAGCTAGTGAGCTACCTAGCCCAGCAGTTAACACTTGCTAACTTTAGCTTCGTCTCTCCTCTGTCAAACAGAAACTAACCCAATGACAGCTGTAAATTTAGGTGTACGCCGAATCACAACACTGTTTTATCCCAGTAATCCTCCACTTACTCATCTGTGTCTTGTCACACCGAGCTCTTACGGTCTCTCCAGCTAATAGGATTAGGACACTGGCGCAACTGCATGTCTGCTGGCTTGTAGCAAAAACAAACATTTCAGCACTCACCACAAACTGAGTGAGTCCTCAGTTTTCACCTTGCTGCCCAGTTCAGTGAGGTCTGCACACCATCTCTGCTGCATGCAATGTGACTGACTGCTGACTGCTCTGGGTTAAGACGTGTTTTCGCTCGGGCAATTTCCGTCTCTCTTAAAGTTTCGATTCATCCTAAATGGGCGTAAACCCTCAAAGTTTACTTTTATTATAAATCATAAACGTGTGTGTTCCGATCCCAACTTTATCTGAGGATATATAAAAATAAATAAATAAATAAAATAGTGATTTCATCTCCTTTTTTTTAATTTGAAGTACATGGGTGCTTAAGATAATTTTATGTAACAAGATTTCAAGAGCTGTGTAATAAAACAAATCGCCGATTATAAAACAGTGACCCCCTCTGGAAAAAAATGTTCCCCATACGTCCTATTACTTTCCATTTATCCTTGACTAAAATACATGCAGTGCAATGTAAGAACAATGCACCAAAACAAAGATATTAAGTTTCTGGAATTCCAACTAATCAGGTAATGAAAGTTCTTTCTGTTAAGCCCTTTTTAATGGACAAGAGTAACAGAAAGTGGAGAAAAAAAACAAAATATTTACAAAAAGACCATGGGCAGAATTTTGTTAAAAAGCAACATAAAAAAATATTTAAGTGTGGTCTAAATTTCTTGTTTTAATGTGTGGATTTTTCGCACCACTAGTTCGTAGTGTGAAACTAGTGCTTGTACTGGAATGTGCGCAAACACACCTTAGTTTTACAATTATGACCAGTGACTAGTGACACGAATAAAACTATCTTCATCATTTGGGGACAACCTAACCATTTCCAACCCTGGCTGTTGGTTCAAGTGAAGCTTAATATTGAGTCTTTAGTGCAGATTGCTGCTTCCACTTGGCATAAAAAAAACAGTCTTTGGTGAAAAAGAAAACTGAAAATGAAATTAAATTAAACTTGTGTTTAGTTTCATAGAAGGTTAGAATAGTGGCACTAAACGTAGATTAAATTCATCCTGGGTTAAATAGACCAGGTCATGTGTTCAAGTGGGGATGAACAGTAAGTCTGGTCTGTGTTACTGGTTGGTAATGAATATAGCATTTCTACTCCAGATCAGTGGTTCTCTGTTGTCGATAAACTGAACATCTCAGCCTGGGTCAATGAGCCAATGCAGGTGCATTAATATAATTTACAATAATGTAATGTAATTTTCTTGAAAAGAACAACAACCAAATCATGACTGAACCACCAACCTGTTTTGCAGTCAATTTCACACACTATTGTAGTAGAACTTCTTTTAAAAAATACATTGGACATATTTATATTACTTTTTATAAACCTTGAACAACACATACAAAATTGAAAAATTCTGTATTTGCAGAATACAGAATTTTTAAAGCTTAAAAGTGATTCTTGCAAATGTTTCTGTGCTGCCAAAAGTTAATTATGGCTTGGCAATGTAAGGTCTTCATTGCTAGCTTTCACTTTCTCTTTGAAAAACGACCCAGCACTTGTAAGTAGAACTGTACCACTCGAAGTGAAAAGGGATCAAATCAGACTTTTTAAAGTACTGTTAAATTAAACACAAAACCTCCAAATAGAACATGATCTAAAATCACAGAGGAATGTTTAGTTGCCTCGTAGCAGCCATGCTGTGCTCCCAGTTGTTCAGCAGAGGGCAGAGTGGGACAGAATCTGAGTGTGTGTGGAACAAAGTGACATCTAGGCCAAAGGATTTCACAGGTCACGTGGGTTATCTGCCTGAAACACCATAGATTGGTGTTTCAGCAGGATCACTCCATTTTCACATTTTCAGGTTTTTGTTGAAACATAATTCCATGGTAACTTGGATTGCACTCAGAGCTAAAGGTTCACTAGCTGTCATGGTTTAAGATTAGAAAAAGAGTCTTTCATCCTGAAGAATACAGTAGTTACATACAATGCAAAGAGTAATGTGAGACAAAAGCATGATGATATTCTAAACGCTTTACCAAAATTTAAACAAACCAAACAAAAAGTAAAAAAGATGTCGTTTGTGAGGAAATAGAAACTCAAGAGTTCTTTTCAGTTCTTGTCCTGCATTAAAAGCTTGATTGACAATTAATGTTGGGGCATTTTATGAATATGCTTTCTCCTTCATAAAGAAACAGTAACATCAAGAATAAGATGAAAAAGAGGGTTCTGATGTAGGTGGAAATCATTTCATGTCTAGTAGACGTTTGTTTTGTGTTTAAAATGTGGATGTCTTCCTGCTGTTTTTTTGTTCTGCCTCTGATGATTCAATCGAGTGTCTTTATTTAAAGTTTGTGGGTGTAACATGACGGTATGTGAAAAGTTCCAGAGGTGCCATTTCTGTGACTGCAACTTAAATGCAAGTTGGTAAATAACTTTCAAAGACAGTAAGCCTTTGTAAGCCAGATACGTAATTATTTTAGCAGTAACAGACAATAATTGTCTATTATTGTATTGTCATGTCTCTTTCATACGGTTGCCATCAAAGCTTTCTATGTACATCTATAACTCAAAATGACATTGCTTGATGTCTACGATGTGCGGGGTTTAGCGGCAATATTCTGAAAAAGAAAAAAGACATGTTTGTACCAAGACTCCCTTAAGCACTCAGTTATTAATGTTTAACCTATGCTTGCTGAACTTTACCGTAAACTTTGCTGTATATCACACATTTATCACTCACATGGGAGTTCATCTGCTCTAGCCTGCAGGTGAGCAGTCGATGAGAGACTCTGCATCAATGGCGCTATGAAAAAAATTGTTTCCAGCTAAAGAAAATTTCTCACATGTCTATCTTTCTCTTGGAGTTAATAGATGCTTTTATGACCTGAGCGTCACACAAGACTTTCTTTGTGTGTTGGAGGTTTTGCTGTACTAGCTGATGTAGATGAGTTCTGGCTACACAGTAATCCCAAACAAGACTCGGTATAGAATATAATCGTCTCTATGTGTACGTTTGATCTTTGAGTCACTGTCACACCTTTCCGAGCAACAGATCTAGAACATGATAGAATCTGGATGTAGCTTTTGGTGATTTCCATAACCTCAATTTTGCTCATGGTTTTTTAATCATGGAGATGCAAACAATCTTTATAGTTCATTTTGTTAGAGACCTTTACAAACAGCTTTTTTTTTTTCCAAAGAATGTCATCGACAGAGTATGTTGCGTTCCCTATGAGGGCAACAACATCCCCAGACAGTGAGAAGTGTTGAGGCAGACGTAGTTATGACGCCAACATTTCTAAATTCCCTGAAGAGCAAATATATGAAAGGAGGCAATTTGAGGCATCCACGTTAAGTCTAGTTTGTTTTATTTTTTTTTTTACAAACAGTTATAGAATCAAAATTAAATATTAATCTTAGGATGTCATGATACTAAATATTTATTTAAATCTAATCAAATGTGCTTTGCCATAAGAGTGCTTTGCTTTTGTTAATCAAAAGAGTCAGAAGTCTCTGTCTCTTTTGATTAACAAAAGTCAGAAAGGTTTCATTAAATAGATTGAGTGCTGACTTCAAATCTTTTCTTCCAGATGTTGATGCCCATCTGAAAAAATGGTTGTGTTTAACAACCAAACAATGAAGAAATTCACAATTTTACTTCAGAAAATTGTCCAAATGAAAATATGGAAAAATGAATCAATTTTCGAACACCAGCCCAGATTGGTTTGTCTCCTTTCACTTGAGACAAACAGGCTTCCAACCCAGAGAGAGCATATAGTTGGGTGTTTTTATTGTCAGTATCAACATACCTTAATGGATTTTGCATCCATTAAGATCAATAAATTTTGTGTATGAATTGCACAATTATGTACACAGGTACAATTCTTTAAGTCACCTTCAATGGTTATTTTATTTTCATAAATCATGAAAGTATCTGGAAAATAAAATGGAAAATAGCGTTTAGAAAATTGCATTAAATCCAAATGAAGTACTCTAGATAAGTGTGGGGAATTTTCAGCGTAACAATGGCAGAGTCAAACTAAAGAAAAAGCACAGAAATATATGCATATTAAACAAAAAGTCTACTGAACACAAAAAAGAGTGAAAAAATGTGGCAATAAATTAAGAGAAAATCCTTAAATTAATTAAAATAATTTAACAATTTAAAGTTTGCTGAACAAATTGTGCTTTTTGTACTTGTGTAAAGAAATGCAACAAGCAACAACACTGAAATCTATGAAAAGAACATCAGCTGAATGCTGACAGTTTTTCATCTGGTTTGTTAGGAGCAGTTGTACAAGTCGTACACTTTACTGTGCTCCAACAGTGTCATGCATGAGGTTGGAGACATTATCCAGAAGTCTCCCACCACCTGTACTGGGTAGACATCCCAGGATCATGCTTGAATGCATTTTCTACTTCACATCTGAAAGAACCACATAGTTAGGTGACAGGCCACAAAAGCTAAGAAAAAATGGCTAGAAAACAACACAGGAAGTGGTCGCAGGTTGGGAGGCACTGCCGTTTTATTGTGGTGAATGAGTCACTTTTGCACAAACAGACTTTCAGATTTTTCTTTAGAATTTACAGGTAAAGATAAACAGTAATAAGAAACAATACATTTCTTGGGTGTAGAAGTAAAAACTGAACAGTCTTTTCAGGTTTCCTAGACAGGAACACTCGAAACTTTTAAGAGACTTTTCAGAGATGCTTTTTGCATGTTTTTGAGAACATTTCTAAGAAAATTCTAGTGTCTCACAAGAATTATACTATGAGAGATTCCTCACATAAAAGAAATGGAAAGAGGTAACTTAGTGTTAGTCATTGAAAACAACTTTTTCTGTAGTCATATACCAATAAATATGCAGATATCGACAAACAATGGTAGTTTTTGTGTCTCAACGTTTTCTCAGTAAATCTGATTGGAGTTTTATTTTTCAGTTATCATCAAGAGTGATACTTTCTGGCAGTCAGACTAAATGTGAGCGGCTGTACTTCTTTTCATCATCTAAAGGGACATCCACCAACCAGAAAGATCCCACAGGCAGAAGGTTTTGCTCTTACTCTGACTGTGCTGTGAGCAATCACATCAAGGGGATGTCTTGTTTCAGTGGCTCAAAAGCTAGTTCCTAAAACAGAAAAAAAAATGTTTTTAACGAAACAGTTTAAATCAAAAGATTATATATAAAAAACACATTTGCTGGACTTTACCTGCGAACTGTGCTGTAAATAACAGTTTCACTTTCATAATCCTGCTGTTTTCTGAAAGTTAAAATGTATATCAGCAATTGTACCATCTATTGTACTCATTGATTATAACAATGGCTTAACAAATGTCAAAATGTCTCACATGGTTGTCTTTCTTCCCTTTTTAAATTCAATAGTTGCATATATTATTTCTGTTGTAGCTTCTTCAACCTTAAGATTGCTGAAAGCTTGTGACTGGTGACTGTCTTCACACCTAAGTCGATTCACACCATCTGTCCTCTGAATACAAAAATGCAAATATATATTAGTAGATAAATCAAGGAAACAAAAATATTTAAATAAATATTAAAAAGTCAAGATTTTTAAGCCTAGCCATACGAAAGGTGATTTTCCTGCATCTTATCTGTGATGACTCAGAGTTTGAGATGTTTACTTGATTCGGCTTCAGATAACATTTGATTCGAACAATACTGTCTGCGGTTTAAATCAAGGAAACAAAACAAGAAGACCTGCATTTCTTCCAGATGTTCTGTCTCTGCTCTCATTTTGTTTTTGGTGAGCCTGAAATAAAGCAGAATATCTAATTTAGGGTGATTGTTTTTCAATTAAAAAAGAAAATATTACAAATTGATATTGATGAAAAAATGATTCTGTCTTTCTGTCAGTTTCTGTCAGTTTTCTGTATTCAGTTTTTAATATTTATAGAAACATCAGATTCTATGAATAATACATATGTCTATAATTTAAGCTCAGAAAATAAACGCAGTTTGTTCTGTGTAATACTTCACTCAAAAATAAAAAGCGCATCCTACGAAGAAGAGTAATGTGTAAACTGCTGCTTTGTGCGTGCTTTGTGCACACACTAAGGTCGTTAACACTAAAGAATGCATCTGCTTTTAATACTAAAAAAAAGCCAATGCCACACAAGAACAGACAGCTCACCTCCAAACAGCAATAACAGATGTCATGACTAGAAACAGGACAACACTGGCACTGATAATGAAAACCATGACTCTCAGGAATGTCCAATAAGCTGTAAAAAAGGTGTTGTTTAAAATGTTTAAAATGTTAAATATGTAAAAGTGCAAGAAAACAAAACCTAACAAACTTCTTAATGCATTTTCCAAAAACTAGTTCATAGAAGGGCAACAACTTTAGTGAGATACTTACGATTCTCTTTCAAAGTGAAAACTGTGGAGTTCTGACTTCCATGTTTGTTGGAGACACTGCATAAATACTGACCGCCATGAACAGGAAGCAACTCAGCCTGATGTCCAACTTTCTGTATCCAACCGTCTGCTACTTTGAACCAGCTGTAATTTTCCACAGGCGGGTGCGCATCGCTACAGCAGACCAGGACATTGCTGCTGTCTGCGCCCATCTCAGATGATGATCGGACAAACACAGATGTGTTCTTGGGTCCATCTGAAAATAAAGGAAAGAGTTTAGTGTTTAAGCTTTTAGGAGGAAGAGGGGAGATTATTTATCACGACAAAGTTGCAGATTACTCCTGCATGGAACATTTGCAGTCTTGCCTTCATCATTCACTTCTTACAATACAAACTACAGTCACTGCTGTGAACAATAAATTTCTTGGTGAAGACAGCATTTTAAAATTACAAATATCAATTTATCTGAATGGCCACATCTTGAGGGAAAAAAATAACTAAAGAAAAAAAATCAAAAGCACAAAAAAAATCTACTAAAGTTTAATACTTTTCTCAAGGCTCCCTCTCAAACTGTTTTTCAAAAAGTCCCCTTGTGTTGTCAGCGAAAGAAATGCCAGCATTACTCAGAGGGAGCAAATGGGTGATTCTGTACACCTCAAAGTCTTTCTGTCAAGGCTGATACTCACATTCAACATTGACATGAGCGACTCCTGAAGTTGTTTTGTTTTTCATTTTTAGGGAGCAAGTGTAGTTTCCCGAATGTTTAGAGGATACGTTTGTTAAACGAAGTACTGGTCCTTCATTTATGGCTTCTCCATCTTTAAACCAGCTGTACACATAAGAACGTTCTTCACCATCGCAGCGGTTTCTGCAGGTTAGATTTACTGAATCTCCTTCTTTAATCGTCTCTTTTGGCACCAAAATATTCAGATCTATGAAAATGTAATTTTCTTTTAAATTGTCCTTTGTTTGATATGAACAGTACAATTTTAAATGAAATGAGAAATAACTTACCGATAACGTTCAGTATCAAATGTTTAGTGGGGCATCTTTTTTTATTATATCTGAAAAAGTATTTCCCAGCATCATAATGGTTCACTTTGTGTATTTTCAAAGAGCAGTTATGCTCATTGTCTCCAGTGTACTCGAATCTTCCAGATACATTCCCAGGGTAACTTAAAATTAAACGAACTTTAGAAGCTTTCAAATAACCCCACGTGAATGTTTTTACTTCTTGTTTTTCAATATCGTTAAAGATACAAAAGAAGACAACAGGTGACCCTCTGACAGCACAGATGGTTTGCTGGGGGTAATCCACGAAGCACTTGTTGGAGAAAACATCTGGAAAAGAAAACATTCTACATGTTGCAACATACTATGGCTGAAAAATATTTCAAAAGTCATTTGTATTTACCTTCTGCAAATAGAAGCAATAGGGTCCAAATCAATTGTCTGCTTCCAGACAACATTTTCAGGCTGAGTCAAGTTAAATCTTTCAGGTTCTTTTAATTTTAGCAGAAGTTTTAAGATCTGACAGAGTGGAAAAACCGGCAGTCTCTTTTTCTTTTGTGTGCTTTTCTATCTATCGCCTCAATGTGCAGCTTCCTGTCATGAAAAAACAGGGTCTTAGGTCAAAGCTGCACTTCTCAGCCTGTAAAAATCAGGTCACTTACACAAAGCCTGTTTCAGCTCTTCATATTTCAATCTGAGATGTACAAAATCTCTATGCACGAAGCCACGCGTCGTGCACTGCAACCTGATGTTCTTATGTTGTGGTTAACAGTAAGAGCAGGGTTGGAGCCATGAAAGTTTAATAGGTTTTGTGCAACGCGATCACATAGTGTGCCAACATAGTGTTTGTATTTCTGCTGATGATGGGCTATACCACTTTATATATTGGTTCTTAAAGGAGTTTTCTGGTAATTTCTGAATGAAAAATAAAAAAAGAATCTAGTGTTGTTCCAATAGTCCATTGTCATTCTTCAATCTTAAATAATACATATGATTATTATTCATATGATATTCGATAGTTTTTTTGTTGGTGTTTTTTATGATCATAAACAATGTTTGTTCAAAACATCAGTTTTTAATGTTCAAAACATCAGTATTTACAGACCCAGGAAATAATACGTTTGGCTTTGAATTACTAGCAGAACCTTCTCCAACTCATCTCTCCACAACGTTGGTATTTTCCTGTATAATGCAATACTTTTTCATTATATTCCGTAGATTGCTCTCTATATACCTTTTATTTGATGCCGCAACACAATGAAGCTCACTTTCATTTTCTATTATGTCAAGCATAATCTCGTGATAGAGTACTTGGCTTAATAACAATCACAGATTAAAAAAAGTAGGCTATATATATATATATATATATATATATATATATATATATATATATATATATATATATATATATATATATATATATATATATATATATATAAGGCAAATCATAAAATTAGAAAACCTAAGCAAAGTGTTCTGATTTTAGTGCCACAAGAAATTTCTCTCTCGCTCTCCCTTTCTCTCTCTCTCATGACGATGGGATGATCACTGGGATGATCACTGGGATGATCATCTGGATTCCTATAAAAGGCTCTTGGACAGTGAGTTTGTCTCAGACAGAACAACCAGCAGCCGAAGCGACATAAGGAGCAGCTCAGACCTCCGCCATGGAGATGACTTCTAAACTTCTGTTTCCTATCGCAGCGATTGTCTTTCTCGTCGCCTGCAGCCCGTCGGAGGCTTGGTACAAGCAGGTGGCCGGACCGAACTACTACTCTGTGGGCAGAGCGTCCGGCTTGCTGTCCGGGATCCGGAGGTCGTCATCGGTCGCCAGGAGAGAGGAATCCCCGTCAGAGAGCGCAGAGTCTGCCACCAGCAGCGTCTTATCGCAGATGCTCTCCCATAACTCCGTTTTAAAGACGATGGTCAGTGGGAATTCATTTGCTCTGTAAACTTTTCAAACGTGGCAGAAATTTGGCTGCACTCTATTTCCGTTTTCTGTGTATTAATTATTAAACAGTCGCGGTTTATTCAGCGCCATATGGCTCTTCGCTGCAACAGCTTAAAACCTGAAAGACCTAAAAGTTTTGGGCTTGCATTCTGAACTCCGTTTAGACAATAAATATTTTCCACATCAGCAGTACGAAAAAAGTCCTATCTTTACTTTAGAAACTGACCGCCTGCGTAAAATAAATCTGCAATCATTTCTTTTGAAAGTATGGATAGAATATTACAAGATTTGCATGAATGTGCACAGTATGATGTTGCAGAATATTTGTTGCTGTGTAAAAGCAGCTTAAATCATCTTCAATAAGTGCACGAAACTAGTGGTGATTTTAGACACTTCAATTCTGATTCTCTAATGATCTGTCTCCATTCTCTCCAAACAGCCTCTTTGCATTAAAGACATCACCCCAAACCTGCAGAGCTGTGAACTCTTCCAGGAAACCAAGGGATCTCTGAAGTGCAAAGCAGACGTCTTCCTCTCCCTGGACTCCTCAGACTGTGAAGGAGACTGATTGCTGTCCTTGGATCATGAAGCATAATTCTTAACAGGACATTAAAAAACAAACATATGTTTAATGTGATGGGTAATGCTGTTGATGGAAGTTTGTTTTTCATGCACCCTTTTTGCTTGATTTATTTTAATTTTTTTATGATGTAATATGTTTATCTGGTTCAGTATTATTGTTCATATTTGATCTGAGTTCACATCAATAAATGGATCATTCTGTGGATCTAGTTAAAACGCAAATCAAAGACGATTCTTCATTTGATTCTTCACATTTCATCTCTTTGGCACTGGAGAAAACAAGCATCCTCACTTCCTGCCAAGGTTATTATTTCATATTTATGATACATGTCATTCACTAACTCTAGTTTGTCAAACTGAAAAAGTATTTTAGGATAGAACTCAAAATTTTCACATTTAAACCCTAACAAGATGACATCAAGATAAAACATCACCATACCAAGCCACAGCTACTTGAACAATTATGAGTGGGTGAAAATAAATCTAGCACACACTGAGGAGAATCCTTTTACTTCATCCATTAATCTGCAGTGAAATTACAAAATGAACAGAAAAACAAAAAGTTGGAACAGTCAGTGACAGTTGTTTGCTAATCTGACATATGGGAGGATTTAACATGAGACATATGGGAGGATGTAACATGGAACATATGAGATTTTAACTTGAAATATTAACACTAAACAGCTGTTAGGAAGCCTACCCAGTCATATTGATGGGTAAATCAACATGCAAGACTTTCACCAGTCACATTGATTTGTAGAGCGTGGCAATTAGGAAGTATTTAGAAGCATTATCTACCAGTTGTTTTGTTGTTTTTTTTTACTGATTTTTCATAGTAAAATTCTCCAAGTTCAGTCAGAACCAATGAAAAACATCTAGCTTGGAACTTTTAGGTATTTCTAAAAATTCTCAGACATAGATGTAGGTTTTGTCAGAGGTATTTTATTAAATGAACATCCTTTGATCAAAGTCACTTCATTAAACTCTGGCTAGGTTGACTCTTAAATAGTATGCAGCTGTAAATAAGTTATCCAGGATTTCTTTGCATTAAACTTCTTTCAGCTCCCCATAAACTGTGGCCAACTCAATCAATATTAGAGCAATGAAAATCACCTAAAGACAGCATCTATAGGCAGAATGACACCTAAAAATGATGTCTAGAGGCAGTGTCATGCTATAGTGTTTTACTGTGCAGACAGTGTGTTCAGGGTCAAGTTCAGTGTTTATATTACACAAACTATTTCAAGATTGATCTAGGAAGGAAATGTTGTTCTGAGTTTGATTTTATTTGCAAAAAAAATTATTAATACCAAGTTGCAGTTTTGACATTTTAGTGTTCATGTACATTTGGACACTGGTTTTCATTCTTTTTCGTAACAAGACATTTGGGTCTTGCTGCAAACTCAAATGTCTCTGGTAAAGTGAATCAACAAATTTTCCTTCCACTGCCCAAATATGTGCTACTTTGGGCTTTTCTATGACACAAAACTCTCCAAAAATACAGAGAAAAAGACTACCTAAAATTACTATAAATTTGCTAACTTAAAATATAGAAAATTGCAGTGTGAACAGTTTCAGTAACATTAATTGAAGCCAAGACACTTTGGTAACTCAATAATTGTTAATTTTTTCTCAAAAACTTGCATGAACATTAAGGAAAGATGAGATGATCAAGATAAATACTTTATTTAAAATAATTTAGAAATAAAACAGCACCATATATACAATTGTCTTAGAAAGTCACATGGCTTTTTGTTTTAAAAGGATAAAAGCAAAAATAAAATCACAGTAATCGGCAACTAAATGCAGAACACAGAGGAGACCTACAACAGCTGGACAGCTGATAGGTTCTCCTTGATGATCTGATCAATGACCTCCTTCATGATTTCAGAGTCAATGGCCGTGCTGAAGTAATAGTAAACAGGTCTGTTTGAGGCCATGTTACAGGCTGAGAACACGGCAGCAACATGGTGGGCTGCAGCATCCACATCACAGTCCACTCCTAGACAGGCAAAATAAGTTTGTCTCGTCTCAAACAGCTTATTCGCTTTCTGAAATATAGATGCAACAACACATTGGCTGACATTTTTTCCTCCAAAATCCAAATACACAAAAAATAATGCAGACCCACCAAACCCCTGGCAATGAGCTTGGAATGATGCATCACCATGACCCAGACCGAATAAATAAAATGAGCAATGTATTTCAATCTGTATCCACAAAGATTTCTGTTTACTTCGCCAGCAGAGATGATGTTGCAAGAATCCAATGTGCTGAATTTATAAGCAACTTTCAAATTTTAAATCATTCAATTCTCTCACATCTTTTATTGTTCAGCAACAGACATGGCCAAAGCAGGATCGTGAAGAAACTAGTGTTCTGCTTATATTCTTCTTTCAATGCGTCGCTCATTTTATAAAGCTTATATGACAAATTCAAAATGCAGTAAAATCAGATGACATGCTAAAAGTTGCTTTAGAATGAGCTATTCAGAGAAAATATAAATGACCTGGGTTGTTCTCCCTACTGTACCTTCATAGCATGAAAGATAAAATCTCAAGTGTCTCCCAGAGTGCGGGATCGTCCCCTGGAAAAGATCAGTTTTGCTCAAAAACAAAATCTATAAGAGAGAAAAAAAGGAGAAAGATCCAAACATATAAATGGATATTTTCAGTCATAACTTCATAGCAAAAAAACAAATGGGTCAGAGTAGAAATGGACTTTTCTTCACTTTCCATCCCTTCCATTTGTATTTGTGACTTTATAGCTTCTTGAGTCACATTTCAAAACATGGGTTGTGCCAGAAAGACGGATCAGCGCCAAAGTTTGTGGACAAACTGTAGAAAGTGAGTTTTTGAGAATGAAATGGCTGGTCAACATTAATCTGTTTGTTGTGGGGCCTCTAAGACTGTTTACTATAATCCGACTTTCTCAAAAGAAATGTGCTGCAAGAGTGCTGAGTGACAGCTCAGGAGAACAGAGTAGAGCTAATTGGTGCAAACCCTAAAGCAGGTTGAAATAAACACTAGTTGCCAACTATGGTATTTTGTCAATAACATTTGATTTAAATTTTATATATGGATTTCTACTTTTTATGACATTATATTTCCCTAAATAAAC